GGGGGGGGGGTGGAGGACTGCGGACTCAAATGGACCTATTATATTAGCCCATGATGCTAAATGGGCACGGAGTACTGGTAGAATAATTATAACTGGTAGGAGAAAGTCAAGGTTATTGAAGAGCGACGTGCCCCTTTGTTGCGTTCTCGCCACATGTCTCATATGGAATATCCTAAGATTGAAAGAAGCCTCCGCGTTGTTAAGCTAACCAGTAGCCGCCTGGCGCGGTGTACGTTTAAGTTAACTTTCTTCTTGGATTTGTATAGTTATTTGTTTTGTGGGCGTGAATCTGCGTCTATTGAACCAATAGTGAATATGGAATGACAGGAAACGTATCAAGCTTGTCATGATACCACTTGTCCTGCTGGAGGCAGGAATGAGAGATCTCACTGATGCCAGCACTAACCGTGCTAGAGGCAGGAATGAGAGATCTCACTGATGCCAGCACTTACCGTGCTAGAGGCAGGAATGAGAGATCTCACTGTCAGCACTTACCGTGCTAGAGGCAGGAATGAGAGATCTCACTGATACCAGCACTAACCGTGCTAGAGGCAGGAATGAGAGATCTCACTGATGTCAGCACTTACCGTGCTGAAGGCAGGAATGAGAGATTTCACTTATCCTGCTGGAGGCAGAAATGAGAGAAGATCTCACCGATGCCAGCACTTATCCTTCTGGAGACAAAGATGGAAGGAAATGTCACTGATACCAGCACTTATCCTGCTGGAGCCAGGAATGAGAGATCTCACCGATCTCACTTACCGTGCTGGAGAAAGAGATGAGAGAATATCTCACCGATGCCAGCACTTGTCGTGTTGGCTGCAGAGATGAGATATCTTACCGATGTCAGCATTTATCTGGTCAGCTGACCATTACACCACTTATTGCAAAGCCTCTTACACACCGCGGTAGCCTAGTTGGTTGGAGCACTGTGATACAAGCCGGAAGGTCGCGGGTTCGAGTCCCGATGAGGTCGATTTTTTTTTCAGTTTACGTAATCCTTCCAGCCTCACTCTGACATTGGGTAGACTCAGCCTCTAATAGAAATGAGTACCATGAATCTTCCTTGGGGGTAAATGGCGGCCGGCGTGTAAGGCTGACAACCTTACCGCCATCTGTGAGCCGATTGTCTAGAGAAAATATTGGAGCCTCGACGTCTCACAACCCTATGGACCTTCACGGCCTCTAACAGGGATAGCTTTACCTTACCTTACACGGTAGCTGCCACAAGACAATTGATCGACCTATTTAATTTTAGCTTTGGGAAAAACTACGTTGGTAGAGAATAAGGTTCCAGATGACGAGAATATGGTACTTGACGTTATACTGCCCTTTAATTACAGTGTTTATATTTTTAGCATTTAACACTCCATCCTCTCGTCAGCATCTGATTAACCTGGTTCTCATTAACAACTCATAATGTTCATACTGAATAAGATCTAAACGTTTGTGACGATGGTACGATGCATATTGCTACAAGTATTATGTTTCTGGACATTATCCATCGTCTTGTCTATTTTCTGAAATCCGTCCTGTTTCTTTTTGGAAACACGACGTTTCGGAAACTGGATTCTGTCCCCGTCCTCAAGTAAAACCTACTCAGTTCGGAGTTTGGTCCAATAGCTAGAGCTAGTCTCCGAAACGTCGTGTTATCGAAAAGAAACAGGACGGTTTTAGAAAATAGACAAGACAACGGATAATGTCCAGAAACCTAATACTCGTACCTGCACTGAATGTTACACAGTTTCGGATCCACTTGCTTGAAAGAATTATCAGTGCAGTCAGATTCGAACTCAGATATCTACAGTCCGTGGCAGCAGTTCGGACGAAGATTCCCCATCGTCTCTAGGCACTTTCCATGATCAGGCCTCACTGACGATGTTACCTTGCTCGGCCTGAAGGTCAGAATCACAGATCACTAAATGATCACCAGCCCCTTCCCACAAGCTCTCCGAAGTACCGCCAGGACTGCGAATTAGCGCCAGTGCAGGCAGCGACTGCTACAGAATCTTCCGCTTTCCTGAAATACATGTATAATAAGCATGTGCGCGGTGCTATCTGTTCTCTGTCTGCATACCAATTATTTTACCTGATTGCACATCCTACAAGATTTTTTTTTTTTTTCCATTGGCACTACAGCCCCAGTGGGTCTAGGCCTACCTCCATGAACTTCTCCGTTCACTTCGGTTTTTCTAGATCTTACACATACGGTAGGACTCCTTGGGCGGGTGATCAGCTCGTCGCAAGGCCTCTACCTGTACACAAACACAGAAAAACGCACACGCACAAACTAAACATCCATGCCCTAAGTGGGATTCGAACCGACGATCCCGGTTTCCAAGCGAGCGAAGTCAGTACATGCCTTAGACCGCTCGGCTACCGTGACCGGCCCTACAAGATTAATATTCCCAATTTCTACATGGAAGAAAACATAGGGGATGTGAAGTTAGGTCCACAACAGAGCCCGAGTTTGTTTCGTTCCCTAGCGTAACGTCGTTCTATCACCTACATAGTTCACATGCCATCGGCTTGTAGGATGAATGTGTTATGAAAGTCGGGAAGAGCAGTGTAACAATAACTCTTTAGATTTCTATGCCTGAGGTCCTCTGTTTGAATTTCGGCTAGGACACCGGCTGTACTGACAGATTATTCGTAATTTCTATTGGGTGTACCGGCAAACACCGGAATAACGTGTCGGTTAGGTATCTACCCTTCCTGCCAAATTCGTCTCAATTCTTTATTAATAATATTCGGCCATACAGAGTCTGGATACTGACATCACAGAAACAAAGATGAGAAAGATTTAGAAAGTAACCGGCAGTGAACTATCTCCGCGTTTATCTGAAGCAGTTTTGCGCGTAATGTGAATCGATATCAAATAGCATTTCGACATCTCATAAACTCATAACAGTCGATTCATTCCACCGGACAATTATTAATACCTAGTCTTGTTAAAATAGTGATACTCTTTATATAGTTTGAAGTCGATCAATAAGCACCACTTTAACAAAACATTTTTATGAGCTACTATTGAATAGAATGTTTGTTTCAGCAGCCAACGAATGATATTGTTTATCCGCCCACAGAAGAACACATACCGAGGGAGTGTGAAAACTGCCTTATTATATCCTACGACTTGGAAACGACGGGTTTGAGTTCGGAAGATGAAATTATTCAGATTGGGGCGCACACGAACATTCCTGCCAGTCAGCGAACTTCAGACTTTAGCCAGTTCATCTTGCCAGCTACAAGATGTGTCGAGCCAGAAGCCGCTGAAAAGATTGGTCTCCAAGTTCGTGAGGACGGTCTTTACGATTCCAGGTGAATCTCCCAGTTACGGAGCGCACCATTTCATATCGGATCACAAGATGTTTGTGTGATTTCGGCTCTCACTCCGGTGACTGTAAAGAGTGTTATGATGTCATGTGATCTGGTAGAAGATTTCAAAATTTTCGGAGGAACGTGCCATCTCCGTCATCAAATTGGAAGAGCAAGTCGAGCCGTAACGCAAGCTGCGCATGCTTGCTTGTCGACCCTGAAGATGGAGCAGTACGTACCTCCGAAATGCCGGTAGACTTCTACTTCACTACACGGTGTCACATCTCAGATGTTCCTTTGTTATTTATTACAACTGAATGATGTATATCAATTATTTTATTCGAGCTGTGATACCATGTCATTGTGTCTCCTTTATTTAATGAATCGATTTTTGTTCTCAGGAAGAACACAATTGTTCCAACAGTTTCAGAATCGGAAGGTCTCATTCTGTTTTTAAGTTGGCTAAGGTCTCTCCAGGATGGTTATGACGGCGTAATTCTCGTTAGTCACGGGGCCATCTTCCTTGACATTCCCGTATTGATTCGAGCCCTCCAGCGCACCTCTATGACACAGATATTCTTCCAGGTATCTTATCTCATTGGAAGGGCTCGAAACATTTGACTTGCTGATAAACGGTGTCATTTACCGCAGCAATAAATTAGCCTACTTCTCTTGTTTTATAAGGAGAGATTTGTAATATTATTTTTCTCATGTATTTGTCGGTTCCTCATAATACACATTAAAAGATTGGGAAATATTTCATTAGATCTGATAGACGCATAATACTATTGAAGATGAATCCTTGTACTTCCAGATTCTTTGCCGTCGGTAACAGTACTATGGCAATGTTACAAATTTGTGAAGTTGCAGGAATTTCACCATATTAATGCTATCTTTCCGTTTTGTACGTAGTAATGAAATGAAAGCTTAGTGTGGGATATCGTTTCCGCCATATGTTTATGTGCTTGTTTGACTTCTAAAAGTAGATTATTTAACAGATCTCGGTTAAAATTTATGTTGCGGGGGGAGTCTGCCAAATTTCTTTGGATGAATTTCGGCTTCATTCTGTCAGTCCAACGTGGTCCCATTTTACACGAGGCTCACACAGAAATTAGTCGTTTCTTCTGTAACTGCTAGTCGCCAAAATGTTGTGAGTTAATGTACAGAACCACAATAGTTTTATTAATACTGTATAAGTTGTACATTTAATTGAAATCTTTAACTTTTGTTTGAAAATTTTTTTTGGTATTATGAAATTGTAACACAGTATTATTAAAATAATCTTAGAATTACAAGTCATCCAGTTTAAACAAGTTTAATAGGAATTATACAGTTGTTTTTATGGCTTTATATATTCCAGCCCTTCAGGTCTAATTTCAGAGGCTAAAAAAATGAAATTCTTTTACGGTTGCTATAGATCTTAACATAATTGCAAGTTGTGTAGCTATTAACTCTAAGTTATATTAAAATTGTACATCATTAAATATTACCAGTAATGAGGTTTCTTGTTTTATGTTGTGAAAAATATTTTCTGGCTTGGTTCAATGAAATTATATTTACAAATATGTGTTTTAATAATATTATTGTTTGTCTGATACCTCAATATATAGTCTGCACTCACCTGTCTGGCCACTTTCCATGCAACTGAAGCCACACGATCTCTTTCTGAATGGAGCCATTTACAGAGCGGATTCTTTATTCCCAGTGGTTGTGTAATTACAAGAGCCGTGCTCAGCAGAAGGGATATGCAACTTAGCTTAGGCCCCAAACCACAGGGAGGAGGAAGAGGGCTGGTATTCTTCACATTCCCACAACTTTGTCTTAGATAGCGGCGAAAGTCCGCAAGCAGATTTGACCGTGGATCAAATGCAGAACATCTGAATGAACGTCTACTGTCATCATTTCCATTGATTAGTTTGTATCTTCGACACGGGTAATTGTACAGGGAGAATTTTTAATCACTTGATGAGTTCACGGCTCTGCGTTTCACGGCGACCGGTGCACCGCCGACCGCGAGGCACGTGCGAATTTTGCCTATGAATCAGCATACCTGATGGCCAATAATATTCGGAATGAAATAATTGCAATTCAAAGATCACAGGAGTTGCTGAAAGTGCCGTCCTCTCTACACGTAGATATTTTTTTGCAATTCATCGTGCCATTAGAAAACACAGGTATAATATTCCTTCGTATCCTTACAGCACACCTGAAACCAACTTTTACTGAATAGCTTCAACAATTGTGTTGCCATTCTTAAACAAAGCTTTGACACTCCAATCTCTTAAGCTAGATGTTTCAGTTATTTTCTAGGTGTGTGTTCAAGTCTGGCCCCTAGGTCATCTAACGTCTCAGTAAGTACTCGACACTTATGTTTTTATTTATTGCCTCGTTATTCCAAGTTTATTTACCAAATTGTGAATTGTTTGCCTGCTGAGAATTATTTCATCATGAAATTTACGTCGAAATTTTAGCTGAGATTTTCTGGCAGATCCGTAGTTCACATGGGTGATATACATAAATACGGATTGCTCTGAAGTACACCGCATTATGACGTACCACTCTGCTCACTAACAGAAACTGAGAAGAAATGGCTAATAGTGCTGATACAAATCATAAACAAACTCCCACGCATGAACCGCAGTGCTCCCTGTGGAACATAATGCCATGAAGCGGTCTGCAAGTTAATTAGTACTTCCATTCATTTCAAACGTTATCGGCTTATTCATCGGCAAAACGCCCATGCGCTTCGCGGCAGGCGGCGCATCGGCCGCTATGAAGCGCAGAGCCGCTAACTCGTCAAATGAGTAAAAATTATCCTTGTATGTGAAGTAAATTAACATAAAAATCAGCTATGTTAAGTGAGTACAGAGAACTTATTCGAAAATATGTGTAGGCTAATTGAACTTCAGGGACTACTTAACTTACTTTGAGGCATCGTTGAACACGCATCAATGTCAGATAATGATGCAGATCATTGCATCTTCATTGGGAAGTCATTAAATTCTATTTTCAACATATTGTCACGTGTTAGAGACTAGACACAGAGTTTGGATGGTAATTGGATATACTGGACTCTTATAAATCAAACGTACAATGAGTTATAACCCTCTCACTAATTTGCAGGCTGTACTTCTCACTACAGCACACGCTAAGTCTTCTATGTCTTCACTAACCGTTGCCTGGTAATGAATACCAACAATTTCCTATTCTGCTCACTTCGTTGCCGACCTTCTACATTGTCATAGCTAAATCATGGCCGCAGTGAACTCATTACGGCGACTAAGTTCTGTGGGTCAATTAAATTGCTGCTGGTCTTCGCCTGCACCGTCATTCCTGGCTTTAGTCTCCTCGAATGTTACCCGAACTGACTGCTGTCGCTGTATAACCTAGGTACGGACGCACAGAAAACACGACCTTAGCAATCCTTCCGTTGTGTCACGTGTTGTTTAGTGGCCATTGCGTAGCAAACGGCTCTCTGTTTAAAGACGTCATAGTGTGTTTACCTTGCCGCAACCGAGCAACGGCTGCTTCTTTCAGTTATCATGTCACAGTATGATGCGGATAAACATTGCCATGCCGGAGATATCGTTGAATGTACAGGACATTTTCTATGAGACTTCCATGCTCAAGATATAACGTATTCTCAGAAATGCTTTATTTATCAGGTAGGAGTGCGCGGTAGCGTAGTTGGTTGAGGCGCTGTGTTGCAAGCCGGAATGTCGCGGGTTCGATTCCCAATGAAGGTCATTGTATTTTTCAATTCACCTAATCCTTCCATCCGCAATATGGCCCTGGGGTTCACTCAGCCTTTAACAGAAATGTGTATCAGTAAACTTCCTGGAGGTAAAGGGTGGCTAACGCGTAAGGCTGACAACCCCACTTCCATCTATGAGCCGATTGTCTACAAAATATGGGAGCTTCGATCTCTCACACCCATATGGATCTTCAAGGCCTATTACAGGGATAGCTTTCATTTTTTTTTACTGCTAGTGGGGTGGGATTAAGTCCCTTGTACTGCGGCCACTTCTGGGTTATTGTTTCAGCCCCAGATGATAGGTGAGGGTGATTGTGGAGCAATTGGTGGAATGAAGATTGGCAGGGGAAACCGCAGTACTCGGAGAAAACCTACCCTAGCGCCACTTTATCCACCACAAATCCCACTTGTCTAGACCCGGGATCGAATCCGGGCCGCCGCGGTGAGAAGCCAGCGACTAACCACCTGAGCTATGGCCCCGCCTAGCTTTACCTTACTTTATTTATTAGGTAGTTTTCGAAATTCAGAATATCAGAACAGTCAACAAAATGAAACAGAAATCGGGCTACATATAGAACCGGAACCTAGCGCTATCATCTGAGGTGTAATCAAAGGGAGCATTTTGTGAGAAAAGTGAATTCCTATTTTTAATATTTTGGTCATTTAGTGTATTTTATTATATTAAAGTGGGCGCAAATTCTTGCGTTGTAGCCGTGAAACGATTAAATATAATCAGAGCGATATTTGCTTTATTGCATAGGTTGTAAAAGGATTCTGCGATTCCAACGCCATCTTCCAGGATGACAGAACCAGACGCTACAGCTCCTATTCGCTGCAGTCTCTGTACCAGACTATCGTTGGCACTCGCGAAGAGATCCACAGAGCAGATGAAGACGCCAGGGACCTGCATACTCTCCTCCTTCGATATTTCAATGTGTAAGGAACTGGTTATGCTTGTAGCAGGTAATGAAAGATGAGGGGCAGTATCTAGTTATAAAATGTTGTTACCCTGTACTAAGTCAATTATCCCGGTCGGAGATGAAGCCTCAGACTTAAAGACCGAGGAGGTTATAATGTGGTTTCTAGTCAGGGCTATGTCGCACATCAGAGGGGCCGTGATGGGTTTAAGTATGGAGCAGTGGCGGAATAATGGTTAGCAAAGGGAAAATCGAAGGAATTCGGAGGAACCTGATCGATAGTCGCATTCCTAACCTCTGCGCTAGATGGAACTGGACAACTTCACACACACTTTTCGCTTTGCTCCCAGGATAGAGACTTTGATAAAAGATAATGGTACGGTTTCGTTTCTGCTTAAATAAACATCAGGTTCATAAGACTTGTGGAGGAGTGGAAATATAGCTTCAAGCAATGTTAACATCAGCTCTAGATGCAGGAGACCGCCTCTGTGGTCTAGTGGTCAGGGTTAATGATTACAGATTCAGAGGTCCGGATTCGATTCCCGGCGTTACCAGATTTTCTGAATAGTAGTGGGTCTGGAACGGGGTCCACTCAGCCTCGTGAGGATAATTGAGGAGCTATTTCAAGGAAATAGCGGCTCCGGTCTAGAAAACTAAAATTAACGACCTTGGGGATTCGTTGCGCTGACCACGCGACACCCTCTATCCGCTAAAATTGACACTAACTTCGCCGACAAGCGGCGGTCGCTCGGTCGGTATAGTTTGCTTGCGGGCTAAGACGACGGAGTTTATTTGTTTGTTACTAGATGGAGGCAAGTGATTAGTTTCATGCCCCGGCCGCTTTTACGCAAAAGAGCCCCGGCCGCTTTTACGCAAAAGAGAAGAACGCCCGGTACCCATTTTGCAGGGGACTAAGTGGGCCTCAGAGCCAATCTGTACGTAGTGGCGAAGGTAAAATTTTCTGCTGGAGGTTCTGAAGGCTCCCAGAGCCGTTAGGCAGTAAAATAAATTCATGAGTCCTGTGCGACTCGGAACCAAGAATCAATGTGCTGCCGAGCCCAGCAGAAATTTAGCAGTTAGCCAGTCAAAATCCTGGTCATTCAGCCCGTGGCCTTGTCATTTTACTGCCCGAGCTATCCATGTTTTATTGCACGATGCTAAATTTAATTTTATTTTCCCAAGAAGGGAGAAGGTTAGAGCTTGGGCAGTTAGTCTGTGAAGAGAAAACTTAGTTCGAGTTGCAATAGTGTTCAGTTGAAAATCGGGCTGTGAAGAGTAGTGTGAAATGGCCACCAGCCTGGGAGCTAGTCAGTTGAAAGCCAGTCTGTGAAGAGAAGGCAGTTTGAAAGGAGCAGCCGTTCAGACAGCACTTGAGCCTGGAAGCAGAGCACTAGCCATTGTTAGAAGCCTTTGCCGGGAAACTACTATTGAAGACACTGCTGGCAGAAAAGGGACTTAGAGTGATTTTTTAAAGTGTGGAAATAGCGGTAGTGTTATATTTGTTTGTAGTTACGACCTGTAAATGGTCAATAATTCCAAAATCCAATCCAAAACTCCGTCTCTAGTCACTCCATACTACGTAACAGTATATATTCATGTCTCGTCATCAGAATGCAGGGCAAAACCATAATATAAAGAAAGGAAACGAATTCCTAAAAATATGCAACTGTCAAGTGCCTATGAATGTCAGTAACACATTAGAATTACATTCGCGGAGAAATGCCGATTAAATTCGGAGAATTCAATTATTTTTTTTTATTGATAGTGGAGTCGGACTAAGTCCCTTGTACTGCGGCCACTTCTGGCCTATTGTACCAGCCTCAGATGATAGGTGAGGGTGATTGTGGAGCAATTGGTGGAATGAAGATTGGCAGGGGAAACCGAAGTACTCTGAGAAAACCTGCCCCAGCGCCACTTTGTCCACCAGAAATCCCACTTGACCAGACCCGGGATCGAACCCGAACCTCCCCGGTGGGAAGCCAGCGAATAACCGCTTGATCTGTGGCGCGGCCTCTTACCATTCAATTAACGGTGTATTTTCTCCTCAGCGCCTATTAAAGTTATAAATATTGATATAAGTTTACACAGAACTATAATATTACAAATTGCTTTGTTTGTGTATATGTATTGAAGGAAGAGCACAGGCCCACACTGATAGTGTTTCAGAACGGGGCGCTCAAAAGAAATCTTCTGACACAGTAGAATATAAATAACAGATGATTGGAGAAATTTCAAAATTAGTAGCTCCATAATTTACATTTTTCATTAAATGCTTTTAGACAAATGAGACTAACGGGGCATGTGACACGCGTGGGATATGTGAGAAGAGAATATAAAGTTTTTGATTGATACATCTGAAAGGAAGAGATCAGTCTTATTGGGAGTGTGTTATTAAGTTGGATCTTAGAGATACGCCTAATTTGATTATTCTTGTTCAGGATAAGGACCAGTGGTTGGTTCTTTTTTAAAAGTCACTGAATTTTCATCGTTCCATGAAATATGGGGCTTTTGTGGGTAGCTGAGCCACTGTTAGTTTCTCAAGAAGGGCTATGCTCTGTTAAGTTATGTGAACTTGAGAAAGACATCACTGGATTAACTTCAGAGGTATTACATTGCAGATGTTGGCAAGCCTGAATACAGTACTTAAGCTCAGGTGTTGAGACGTCGCCTTGTCAACATGACGTTCCATGCGGTGGTCCAATAGCACTCGGATAGTCTCTCTTCGAGTTCTACGGTTTTCCCTGTCAGTTATTTCACTAATTTGCCACTGTCCCTGAAGCATGCGATAGGCCAGACCAGCCAGTACGTTATCACACACTCGGTCCTGAGTTCAGTTCCCGCATGCTACTTGACTAAATACGGAATAGAAAAGGTTTACCTAAAAATTACATGTTTAGGAAGCAACTACCAGGATAAACCCTACATGTGAAACTTTTTAAAAATTATATTGGCATATACACGTATATGTATATATCTTTCATTGGGTACTTCACGATGAACCTGGAAGGATTCACGAAACGCAGTTTGGGAACAACAGACCTAAAGCATATCTATGTTATACGTTGTCAAAGGATGCCTTAATGATTGCAGGGAGTCGCTGTCTTTAGCAATCCCAGTGTTGAACTCATGCACATACACTTCCCGTTGCATGGAACTTTATTCGGCGTGGAAAACCTATGAGGATGGGAAAATTGACGATATGAGGGCCATCGTGGACTGGAAGAAACAAAGTGAGAAGAAAAAGAGGGTCATACTGAAAAATCTTATAGCTGCAGGTTGCGACATCCAAGGACTATCAGATGAGTACACCAGATCTCCATCGAAGCGTGCGTTTAAAATGCAACTGAAAAGGAGAATCCAGAGCATGAAGGATACCCACGAGAACTACTTGCTGGGCACAAGACTCGTCTGCGCGGGTGAGATCGTCAGTACTGTGGCATGCTTTGTGAGAAGAAGACAAGAGCGTTTGTGCTAATAGTTCACGTCATGCGCTTGTCTAACATTGACACATCATTTAGACGAGAAATGACGTGACACAGTCGTGGCCCTAAATTCTTCGTCATTGACTGTTTACATTTCGTTCTGTTGTAACAAGCTGATACACTGCATGGAACACGCTTACAGGAACCTTCCTAACGTTCGGCCAGTAGCAGATTAGCTCATCAAGCGTCTACATTCGCCTTCCAGATATTATGAAAGAAGGATGGTACTAAAGAATAAGAATGAATTGAATTCCTAAGTTGATAAACTGTACAATGAAATTAAGCATTATAATTTGCAAAATTACCGACCACATTTCTTCGCCATCGCCAGATGGCCAGTAAAACACGGTTTACAACAACTCGGCTCCGATTTCTGTAAAGAAATGTTCATAAACCATGATAATTTACGTTATGGTCCCCTGGGCGTAGATGGGAGGATGGCCCTACACTGGGTCTTGAAAAAACAGAGAGGAAGATGTTGACTGGATTCATCTGGCTCTGGGTAGCGGTCAGTAGTGGGCTACTGTGAACATGTTAATAATCCTCGATAAAGGTAAAGTTGTCCCTGTACTTAACTAATTAAGCATTATGCCATGAAGGCGTATGGGGGGTTGATTGTATAAATCCACATTTCGACCTCGGCACTAGTTGGAGGTGAGTGGTCAGCTTCACTCCTCTGCCGCTTTACTCCTGAGGGAAGAGACTACAGTACCCATTGGATAGGAGATTGGGTGGGCCAAAAAGCCGGTCTGGACGACATGGAGAAGTGAAAATTCTTGCCTCCACCGGGACTTGAACTCCGACCCCTTCGCCATCTAGCCGGTAACCAGTCACTAAACCGACTACGCTATCCCGACTCCAGCATACCACTTTACCCATTATAAATCTGATAATGAGCTTATACAATGTGTATTTTTTTTAATGTTTCATTAATTGAACTGACGAAGATTTGGATAGACTTGAAAGGATTCTGACGATGGTGTATACTGTACTTCTTCTGGCTTATTTTGGACTTCATCCATCGTCTGGTATGTAAAAGACAAAAGACCACGATGTTTCGGAGACTGGATCTGTCTCCGTCTTCAGGTAGGTAGGGAAGGATAAACCTACTCAGTTGGGTCCGTTAGAAAGAGCTTGTCTCACTAGTTCATTAATTATTCGGAAGAAATTTGAATTTTTGATCAATATATTTCCCCCCACTCCCATCCAGATTCGAGAAACGTAGTTGCATAGTTTGTTCCCACAGCGTTAGCGAAGAGACAGCTGTGTCAGTTGCATGTTTCAGGACCGTGAAAAGCGTCTGCTGTTCCTGCAGACAGACTATATTTACATTCCCAGTTCTCCACGTACGACTAATCTTGCTGTCTCGACTGCGTCGACCGATTATTAGAGGTCGGTTTCAACATATGGTTCTGAAATAAAAAAGTGAGAATACTTATGTGTATTGTTGTTGGCGCAGATGAAGTGGACCACTCACATCTATTTCCGAGGTTAAGAATGCATGGAGCTACGCCTCCACTCTTCCGTACGTTAAAATTGCATGGTGCTTAATTAATCATATGGAAAAGATTATGTGTACTGCATCGAGTAGGTGTGTGTAGACTTACGTTCAGGATGTTCTCCGTTCAAATTTAATCTGAAGCAACTGACTGGTGTTCGTGGTTTTCCATAGTCCCTCCAAGCAAATGCCGGGGCAGTATTTCAATTTGGGAAAGACCTCGTTCTTCTAAATTATCTCCAGTTTATTGTTCTTCAGTCATCCTACCTAGCTCAGTCGGTATAGATACTGACTGGAAGTACGGGCTTCGAATCCCGGCAGCAGCAAGAGATTTCTAGACCGGTTGTTGGGCACACCTAGCGGGGCTGATGCGTGAAGCTGCACTCACCTGCATTTAGTACTGACGTTAAGAACGGTGGAACCATAACGTCACTTCCCCATATATCTTGAATGCATAAGGGGAGGGCCATAAGAATCCGGCCCTTGCACTGCGACCTTCAGTGATCTGTGCTTTCACCCATACATCTTCATGACATAATCCTTAAACATAAGGACAACTTTACCGTTTTTTTTACCTTTCTTATCATTCTACAGTATACAGTCCAGGTACTGACGGCGTAAGGGAAACTAAAATAGAAATATCATTGCGCAAGAGCCACAGAGTTTGCCTGTATTATCCTACTGCACGTTGGGATGATACGTCATGGCTCATTGTGACTGAGCAGTGTATGCAGATGTTAAGGCAGCAGCTCTGTGGTTCGCGGTAAAGGCATGTAGCAGAGAGGAACCTTGAATAGCAGGGACACGTGGAGCTTAGAATTGGACAAAATCCAATTCCCCTGGTCTCGATTCGCTTTAAATACAACTCATCTGCATTTAGTATATAGTGACAGAAAATTTATCTTCTGTAATTCGATTACACTTTTAATTGATACCCTAACTTAACATAGCTACAGAATCCGTGATAGAGACAGCGACGCCTATAGTTCTATTACACACCTGTCTGGCGAATAGTCGTTTGTTTCTGTGCCATTGTAAAATAATTAGATACAGAACTTAGTACAACTGAAGTAGCTTAATCTGCTGTTTAATTCTGAGGTTTTGTCATTGTTAACGCAGTGAAAAAACAACCCCTGGAACGAGAAAAAAGCGTTGAAACCAGAGCTTCAAATATACGGTCACTCATTCCCTGTCGAGATTAGTGGAGAGTGCATTTCTTAAAGTTCTCAATTTATTCTAATTTGATACAAAATTATCGTTATTATGTGTAAAATGCAGGAAGAAATTTATGAAATTTTGTTTCCTGAGTAATTACACTTTTCCTCTGAAGCTTATGAAGACCATAAGCGACTTGATTTTATTAAAATATACTTCTAAAGCTCTGACTGACGGGATTGAGACATTTCATCCATGGTACATGAAGAGGGCTGTGGACAGACAAGAGCTTATAATCAATATTATCCCATTGTTGTATTACTTATTCGATTATTGGTATTGAGTTATGTGATAGTATTAATCATTCTGCAAGAGAGATCCCATTGTGACGTCACGTTTGAAGTGGGGATATCGTGAACGAAAACAGTAGCTGAGTACGTCTCGAGGGGGAGGAATATCGGCCCGAATGCGGTTACTTGCAGTATTATTATTATGATGATAATAGTATCATACTACTAGTTTGTAAGTTATTGCTTATTCTGCATATTGACATACTATATTTATAGCTTATATTTTATTGTTGTCGTATACAAACAAATCATGTATATATATATATATGTGTGTGTGTTTTCATGTCGATGAGTGTTCAGATGTTGGTATTCTGGGTTGTGATGTCATGTATTACATACTGTAAGTGGATACTAAAGCTTCGGAGGAATATGTTGCTCAAATTTTAGGTTCGTCTTTGGAGAAGGAGGCAGTTTGGTCCTCCGAAACCCTGGTATCCACCTATTACACTGTTTGACAGTAGAGGAAACTACAGTCAGAATATTCAAGCCTTCCGAAATCGCAAGACTGTCTCGGTATGCTGAAATGTCATTCCTTTTCTATTCACTAGATAGGCAATTAACTCCTATATCGGGGTTCCTTTCAGTGGCCTCCTTGGTCTTCCTATACCCCGTGTCTCAAATGTCTCTTTGCAATAAATAAGCTAATTACGAAATGGGAGCCTCTGTCATATATCTGAATCTACTAAATGGATTTTGATTTGCTCATAATTTCATACAATCTGCCTTAGGGATTTATTAAGCCAACCCCTAAACCAACCTCTCACAGAATTTGGATTTTGTTGAAAAATAAAGAGAAATACGTGTATATGGTAGGCCCTCCTCGACACAGTTGACACCTGAAATTTCGAATAGTTTGTGTGTGTTCATTCATTCATTCATTCATCAGTATTCTGTCAAGACGACAGGTCCACAGTCTCTTCCAAAACAGTTCCTCCACTTGATGCGATCTAGAGCTTTCTCCTTCAAATGAAAATTTCCTCTTCTGTCCCCAAGGTCATCCTGCATCTTCCTACGTCTTCTTCCTCGTCTTCTGGTCACTTCTATCCGCCCCTCCATCTTTCCTTCAATAACTTCTTTTAGAAGGCAGTTACCGCGTAAGATATGACCAATCCAATTACCCTTCCGTTTTCTTATTTCGTGTAGGATACTCCTCTGCTCACTTACTCTAAATAACACTTCTTCATTTCTCACATAATCGGTCCAACTGATCTTCTCCATCCTTCTCCAACACCACATTTCGAAGCTTTCCAGGTGTTTCTGATCTACTGCCCTAAGTGTTCAAGTTTCAGCCCCATACAATGTAGAAAAATTTACTTGAAATTGAGATATGGAAATAATATCAGTGCTAGCTGACCTACTAAATACAATGCATTAAATATAAGATGGTTTTGTATTCGGACCAAACATTAAATAATGAAACGAAGAGAGCCCCAAATCGTATTAGTTGCAGGATTGAGAGACAGACTTGCTACTTCTGAATGTATTCTTATCACTTAACAAGCATGAATAGACTGCCACGTGATCTGTGAAATATGAATGCTGGGTTTTCGATTTTAGGGAGGGTAGAACAACACTTAATTGGCTGTGATATGGTATCTGAAGTGATGAAGAACGTGCTAACAAGATTGTAAACCCCAATACATAAAGCAAGTACGCTGAGTTGCTTTTAAGATATGCTGTGATATGATGATTGTGTTTAAAGGCGCGCAGGCATCTACGGATATACGCTCCTCGATATAATAGATCATGTGATAGAGGAGTTGCTATTTGATGTTGTTACTCCACGTGCCATGAGTCATACGAACTGTAAGATAAAAATGTTGTCCTTTTTATGGTATTTTTACTTTCAGTTTGTCTTAGCAGTGCTTAATGCCTATCCTGAACAAACGCCTTTAGGCTCTGAAATACACTTCTTTAAAAAATTGGAAAATCAACTTATATTTCTGCTAAAGAGCTTGGTATTCTACCTAAGCAACACATTTTCAGGTTCACACGTTTTTAACCATGCCACTAGATAGGGGACGGTGGTGAACTTCACGCTTTGGCCAATTTATTTTAAATGCTTTGTTCTGGAACTTTCGTTTGTTTGTTGGGCGATCAATTTCTGCAGGTTAAAGAGGGACACATGTTTATGAATGTTATCTCTCCATATGGCCTTCCATGCTGTAATACTTATAGGACGAACACCAAAGCTATCATGTACGTATTTTTATGTACCCTCTCTTTTCATTGTCGTTAATGGATGTCTTTGAATACTGATTTACATATTAAGCATTTGCTGCAAACGAATTGTTAGTAAGTACTTCTGGGAACAAGCTTTCAAAAATGTAAGCTATTTTATATCACCACACCACCTATCGAAAATATCGGATGACTTAGGAGTAGTGAATATGAAGAAAACGATAAAATCTGTTATCCATATACGAGTATTAACGCTACTTTTCTTCAGAGTGTGTCCTCATGCATTTATCTACCTCCTGGAGATGACAAAATAGCATCAGTTACCTAGATTTTCCTTAAAAAGGAATACTTTTTTGCTATTAATAAGATATATTGCATATGCAGTATTATATACGAATATGTTTAACCGTCCACTATGTACTTTATTTGAACAAGTTTAATAAACATATATGTAGCATTTATGTGCGTTGTAGGCCTCACTACCCTTCCTGCAATTCATATTCACTTCTTACGATATTATGAGGATGTGTATGGTTAATATATTTTACGTATATTCAAAAGGAAAAGAAGACTTTAATATACAAGGTATCAAAATAATGTTTTAAGAAGAAAAAAGTAAAGCTATCCCTGTACCAGGCCATGAAGGCCCATAGGGTTGTAAGACGTCGAGGGTCCCACACTATCTAGACAATCGGCTCAAAGATGGCGGTAAGGTTGTCAGCCTTACGGGCCGGCCGCGCTTTACTCCCCAGGAAAATTATTTAATTAATTCCTGGTACTCATTTCTGTTAGAGGCTGAGTGAACCGCAGGGCCTAGTGCGGCTGGAAGGATTAAGTCAATTTTCTTAAAAAAAAAAAGTTTTAAGAAAATAAAACGTATATTTATTGTGGTAGTACATCAAAATTGTTAGAGGCTATCTCAAGGTTTGAAGCCGGAATAAGCTATAGAACTACACCCTGAAACAGGAAGTTTTTAGTTAACTATCGTTCGTGTTGAGTGAATTTAAATTACATATATACAAAAGATAGGAAAACATCGCTATTAATAATTATTATATGATACAAGTTGATTTTCTCAAGGTGTCAGACTTACAGTAAACCTAATCTGGAGTGAGGCATATTCGACTTTTTCATACCCAGTTGTAGGCATAGTAAATGGAAATAATGGTACCAAGGAAGACAAAAATAAAATTTTTGACAGAATATTTATTTTATTTTTTGCGAGTACAATAATTTCTATATTGAGCATCAGAAAATAATATTTGGCAAAAGTAAGTGCTATTAACAAAAACTGGACAGAAGAGCGGTCCCGTCAGAGTTGGTTCACGGGCCGCATTTTATTCTAATTCGTGAAGATGTTATTTAAGAATATAAGGTAAAAGTATAGGTTAAGTTGTCCCTGTTCATAAATAATTTAACACTACTCCATGAAGGCGTATGGGGGAGTGGATGTATAGATCCACATTTTCTTGACCGCGTAATTAATTAGAGGTGAGTGGGCAGCTTCGCGCTCCAACCGCTTTACCCGCGGGTAAATAGCTCCCGGTACTCATTGGATAGGTGGTTGGATGACCCCAGAGCCGGTCTGGACGACGTGGAAAAGAGAAAATTTTGGACCCTACCGGGACATGTCGATCACCATAGCGACGGTAAATGCATGCTCATCTTTAAGTAAAACGAAATAATTTGCATTGTGGGATCTGATATACTCGTATATTATTTATTACGTAGTAATGAAGCAGATCAATGGAAGGCTAAACGTGATAAAGGGGAGAGGTAGATAGATAGAGAAAGAGAGAGAGAGAGGAAGCCTGCGAAATATCGTACATTTTTCTCTTATCCACATATCGGATAAAATCCAAACAAAATTCTTCTATGAGATCCTTGGTTTGAATTTTTGCTTGGATATCAACTATCATGACTGGGATTCTTCGTGGTTTTCTTTAGTTCTTCCAGACAAAATACCGAAATGATGCCTGAAATTTAGCCACGACTGCTTCCTTTCACATCAACTCAAGCGGTTAGTTGCTGGCTTCCCACCGCGGCGGCCTGGGTTCGATCCCAGGTCTGGTCAAGTGGGATTTGTGGTGGACAAAGTGGCGCTGGGGCAGGTTTTCTCCGAGTACTTCGGTCTCCCCTGCCAATCTTCATCCCACGAATTGCTCCACAATCACCCTCACCTAACATCTAGGGCTGGTACCATAGAGCAGAAGTGGCCGCGGTACAATGGACTTAGTCCCACCCCACTAGCAATAAAAAAATTATCGTTTAACATAACGAAAACTTGGTATCTGCCTATCAGAAAACATTAGACGTATGGTGTCATAACCCGGAAGACTGCGATATGAAATTCTAGGGCCACTCACTGGAAGATTTTCTGTAGTCTACTACAGAATTAGATTCTTGGAAAATACACATGTTTCCTTTTTGACAGCACGTTTATCTTGCAGCAGTTCGATACTCTTTTTTGCCTCTTATTTAAATTTAAAATGGAAACCACAATAATTTACTCCCTTCTTTGGAACTGTAAAACTGTCAATCTTAGTAAGCTGTTACTAACTTACATTTTAGGAAAGTTAAATTATTGAAAGCAGCCCCTTTACATCGTGATTCTAAATTGATTCTGGGGTCCATGCAGCTTCCTATAGGCCTACCGCATGCAAGGACCCTTTCCCCTGGGACGGGAACGTAAAGCTGCCAGCTTATCGAAACCAGCTATTGTCAAGTACAGGAGGATATTCTGCTTATATGTTTCTTCCTTGCTTGGATCATTTCTCTCTAGTATTTCTTTCCACTTCCAATTCGTCATTCGGAGATAATAATCTTACAGTGTGCAATTCGACCTTCAAAAAATCCAGAAGTTGATTAAGCTTCGAACTAAATATAACGGAATAACAAACTCACCTATCTAAAACATTAGATGACCAGAGGTTAGCAGAAAATTACCTGCCTAGTTACTACGAGAAAGAAATTATGGGCCCTGGTTTTATGGTTATTAGTTTAATCCACACACAAGAGCTCGAAAATGTGAAACAGGACAGTTTTATTTTTAGTCTGAAAGAAGTCAATTTCATGGAGAAGGGTCATTGATAAATTCATTGTCACTCAGCTAGTCAAGAAATTTCCTGCATTTAGTGTAACTCAGAAATTGTTTTCTCGGTATTCCTCCGCTGTACCTTATCCCGAGTCAAATGAATTCAGTTCAGACCTCCACACCCTATTCAAGATCCAGTTTCATTATCCTCACAGTTGGGTCCACCTATCGCAAGTAATGTATTCAGTTTAGGGTTTCCGACTGTTTTTATCTTTTCTATGTGTTCTGCATTATCGCCTATCATCTTCTTAGGTTTGTTCACAAAAATAATATTTTAAGAATGCAAATTTTGAAACTTTCCAAAATGAAATTTTCGTTGTTTTATTAATTTTCTTATTTTTCTAAAACTTCCTGACTGCTTATCCACTAGACCAAGAAACCAAGTTTTATACGCACGCAAACAACGTTATTTTAATTGAAACGAGCGTCGGATCAAGCTATGGTCGCAAAACTTCGGTCATCTGAAGCGGTAAATTTCAGCATTGATGAAGTCCAAAGGTAAATCTCTTGGATAAATCTACTGTTGGCTATAGGTATGGCAACCTTGGAGTGTTGTCATTTGTTTTAGTTTCGTGTGTTTCTTCGCCATCTTGCGGAAAGTGACAAGTGTGTGAGATTGTGTGTAGCGGGAATATTGTTATAAAGCATTCAGCATGATTTTTAATGCATTCCATTAACGCACCAAATATGTCAGTAAAACCAGGATTACTCATTAGTATTTCATTATAAATCACTTTTAATACTTCGTTGTGGAATGGCTGTAATATTTAACATCAACAGAACCGTGGGTGCATATTGTTCGGCTAATGTTCTTGTCGATATATTGAATTGTATTCTGTCAAGTATCATGCAATTTTAAACAGTGTTATTGAGTGATGCAACAAGGACGTAGGTAAACTAGGGTGTTTATTTTTTTAATTCCGGCTATAAGTCATGAAAGTACGTTTAGTAAAACTAACGACATTATCTCTTCCCTAACGAATGCACAAAGTAGTTAATTTTCATATTATGACTTGGTCTGCTGTAAAATCAGACCTGAGATGTGATTATCCTGGAACCAAGCATTGTTCGAATAGATTTTTATTGTATGTGACCAGATTTTAGAAAGTCTGTACTGTAAGTTTCATTGCAGTAGCAATAACCACATAAGGTGAAAACAAAGGGGATTTCTTGGGGTCTTGGCCTGATTATTGGAACATGTTTTTGCGAAGAGATGGCCAAATGGTTATGTTTCTTAGTACTAAAACAATTGCACTCAGTACAGAATCATAAAAGAAGTGATGAATCATATTGCAAAGAAAGAACATACTCATATTTTGATGTGACTTATTATTTCAATAGTGGACATAGCTAACTCCATGAAACTGAGTCCTTCATGGGAAGCCTCCAGTTGCTGAGCCATTCAGTAATTTCCCACACATTTTATGGAACCATAAGGTTTGATACTGTGTTCACCAGAGGTTACCATTTGTCCCTATCCTAAGCAGTTTTTTCCACCTCAGTGCTGTAAAAATACCAAAAGGTCAACTCTTACATTGTAAATTTAGCTATTAAGAAATATGTTTGCTGGAAAACGAGTGATTTGACTAAATAATGATTATGTGACCTGAAAACTAATCTTTCAATATTTTTTGTATTGTACAATGTTTATACGTGGAATTTCACTTGCTTGAAGTTCTGTGTGCTAGAATTCAAAATCCAAACTTAAGTGTTAACAGGAAATTGATGTCTGATTTTTTTTCTCTAGGTGAAATGTGGGGAAATGCTACATCATTTATTTGCAGTTTTGATGTTTGTGAAAGGAAAGTGGATATGTCTGTCATTTCCGTGAGCTCTGTGGATCAAGTATTAATGAGATCTGCTGCCTTCACTCAGGTTTACATTCTTTTCCCTATTTCTGTAATCTGTGTATGGTCAGAAGGAGGACCTGAAATCCAATTAGAAGTGCCCATATGGTTTGGGTGCTCAGTGCTGTTCCTAGTCTAAATTCTGGCCCAGCTTGCCCCCCCCACAATACTCAGTGAAAACAGCTGAATATTCATAAAATTTCATTGCAATTAACATGAAAGTCCCAGATGATGTCGGTGGGGTGAATTGTAAAATGTGCACTTGTAGATCTGTGCTGTCGCAGGTGGCTGCCTGGTTTATCTGTGTGATCGCGCCAGTCCTATGGGTCCGTCACCTCTTTTCAGGGTTGGTTTTGATGTTCCTAGTAAGCTTTGGTTTCATTTCAATTTGTTTGCTTACTGTAAAGGATTTGAACTGTAGTCTGCATTTTTACTGAAATCTTTTGACAGACTAGTAGTAAATTTGCTTCAAATAACTTTGTATTTTGAATATTTGTCTGATTGTTCTTAGCCCCATGACCAAACCCCAACCCAGAAGTTTAGGGGCTACACTTCATATGGCCCCTACCCTTTGAACTGTCTGGCATGTGTGGTCATACCAAGAGCTTACGCCCCTGCCAGCCTAGCTCTCTGGGTCGTATGGGTGCTCAAACCTCCTTTTCTTGAGAAGGCTACAGTCCTTGAGGAGGATTTGTTTAACTACATATGTAAAGAAATTATTTTATAGCAATCATATTTAGTAAATCTTATAAGAAGATGAAATTATTGATATACTCTTGCATAACTCCCATTTATTGAAAACTTCAATTCAGTATAGAAAAAGTTAGTCCCCCAGTAATCCATTGAATAAGGATTTCACTTTATAACAGAATGTTAAGTTGTAAGGTCGTAAGGTTGAACACCTGTTGTTGTACTCAGTGCTGTAACTCCCTCACCCAGTTTTTGGAATTTGCCATGATCTACTGCCCTTTGCAGGTGAAACACAGTTTGAGAATCCTGTGCAACTGGGTCCCTGGTTTGAACAAACTCTGGGAAGTTAGGATGCCCTTGATACTACATTTTGAACAATAAAGTACATCAGATTCATTATTGTTTAAGGATTATTTAAATATCTTTGAACTAGGGAACCATTTCACAATTTGAAGGAATTGTTTAGAACTGTTTAAGTATGTAATGTTAGTTTGACACATGTGCGAGCTATGGAACAGTTTGTCATGCACCATTTTCTTATTACTGTATTCATTGCTTCAAGCGGACAGTTACCTTTCCTAACTATCTAGCCGACTAACATAAGTAGCAATACTCCAGTACAATCTCAAGGTATAACAATGTGAAAGCCAGAGCACATCTTTGGATGTGATTCTGAACTAGTTTCCTCCATCTCTCACTGTTTTCTAAAGATTAATTTTGTTATCCAAGAAGTTTCCCCACTAAAATTCTGCATGCAGTTCTTATCTTACCCATCCTAGTCACTTATCCAACCCATCGAAACCTTGATTTTACTGTCTTAATTTTTTGTGTTCTTGGAGTAAAATAATTTATTTATTGAAACTGTTAATACTCACTGTACTTCTTTATATTGTAATGTGTTTCTTTAAGCTATTTCAGAGCATTTTTTATTTATATGTTGTAGTATGGGAGAAAACAGTGTGGACAGCTGATGTACGTGTTATTAAAACGTTTGTATCTTTACATTGCTATATAGATATCAGTTAGTGGTATCATCAGTTCAAGATTCTCTGCATGAAGATTTTGTTCTGAACTTCATGTCTTGTCTCAGCTGCCTTGTAACTGCAGTTATCAGGAGAGGATCTGTTAATAATATAAAAAAATGAACAACAACAAGCCAGAAGTGGTTCAGATCGTGGAAACGATATTACCAACCAATGAAGATGAATCAGATACCTGTGTTGAAGAAAATGTTATTACTCCAAAGTGCAGAGAAGCTATCATATTTCAGACACTTGATGAGAATGGTTTCATTCATACACAGCATGGTTCTCTTGTTATGGCATCAGTTCCGCAGATAAAACCAGAGATCTCTGACAAATGTTACCCTACATATGGTGTCGCAGTGGATGCAAGAAACCAGTACTCTTCAACTACTATTGTTGGAGCAGGAGATGTTACTGAGGTATGTTGTTTTTTTATTTATGCTTTGCCAGGGATAAGGCCACTTGCACTTGTTCTGACACTCAAAACAGGTTGTATCATATTTTCTTTGGTCTTCCACTTTCTTTTCTGTGACTGGGCATACAATAAAATGATACCATGGGAAGTGCTGTTTCTCCCATCCTCATCAAGTGATTTCTTAATGTCCTAATGTCTTTTTACAATATTGTTTTTGTTCTCAATTTCTCCCAAATTCTGTCATGTATAAAGGGTCACTTTGTGAGGTACCCACAAGTGGTCCAAGGAGTTTCATTTATTGAACTTGCAGTCTTTCATGTCTGGTACATTATTTAAATGAAATAGCGGCTCTGGTCTAGAAAACTGAAATTAACGGCCGTGGGGATTCATTGCGCTGACCATGTGACACCCTCTATCTGCAAAAGTTAGCTCTAAACTTCGCCGATAAGCAGCGGTCGCTCGGTCGGTATGGTTCGCTTGCGGACCGAAATCATGAAGTTGTTCCCCCCCCCCATACATGACTATAGTGCATCCAAAATTAAGAGTAATTGACATGACCTTACTGGATTTTAGATTGGAGGTTCTCATGACACCAAGTATCAAAATTATGATTTTCTGGAATGTGATGTCATATGGTTAGGTAGGTACCAATATTTTGGGAGAATATGTTTTCTTTATCTTCAGAATAGAAGAATAAGCTACATGGGTAAAACTGGTGCAGATACAAGGAAGGGAGGAACTAGACTGGGTTTGTGACCAAATGAGTGGGAACTAGTGGCTGTGTAGAAGGCTCTTGTGTGTATGTAGATGACAAGGAGAGAAAATGAAGCTTTGGAGGAAGGAAGGTGGAAAAAGAGGAAAATAAAGTAAGAAAATTATAAACAATGACATAAAGGAATATATGCAAGGAGAAGAAGAAGGGGAGAGAAATATTTAACAACAGGCTATGACTGGATGGCAGAATTATGGTGGGGAAAATTTAGACACCGGAGGAAGAGTTGTGTTTAAAAACAAAAGGGGATTTTTTTGTATCCATTGGCAACCACAATTTTCAGGATCAACATTTTTCTGTCGATTCCCCTTCCTCCAACTCTGCTCTTCCATACTTATCTTTGAGTCTCTTTCTCATATTTATTTTATTTATATTTCTGTTTTTATTTTATATTTCCTTTTTAACCACCTTCCTTTCTCCTACATTTCTTAAACTTTTTGCCCTGTGACTGTGCCATTTGATCACAGTCCTTTGCATGTCCACTTATTCCTACTCAATTTTTCCTCCATTTATTTTATCTTGTATCACTTTCTTTTAATTTTATTTGTTTCTATTTTTATTATTTCATTTTCCTCTTCCTCCCATGCTTTTTCATTTTTATCATCATAATCATCATTCATACAAAACATTTGTTAAAATTCGTGTCCTGCTGAAGTTCATTAATATAAATATTTGCTGGATACAATCCTGTCAGTGCTGTGTAGTTTTATATCATATGATGTAGACTCATACTCAAGAATAAATCTTTTACACACACACAAGCGGCCTCCGTAGTCTAGAGGTAACGTTCCCACCTCATGACTCATGGTACGCAGGTTCAAATACCTGGTGGAGATCGTCGAATTTTTAAGGGCAGAAAAATTCAGGGAACAAGTCCTCCGGGAGGGACTTTAAGCTGTGTGTCCCGTGTCGTAACTTTACGGCATGTAAAAGAACCTCATATCCCCAAAGGGGATCACTGAGCCAAATTCCAGGACGTTTCCCACCCAACAATAGTCTCTAAGGCCTCTGATAGATGGAGGAAGCATTATAGACACCGCTAAGCAAGTAGCTGAACTCGCTTGNAGTCCTGATGAGGTGGATTTCTTCAAGTTACCTATTCCTTCCAGCCGCAATATGGCCTTGGGGTCGACTCAGGCTCTAATAGAAATGAGTATCAGTTTACAGTCTGTTTTTCTGGCACTGTTTCTTGATGAATGATACATTTATCATAAAAAATGCAGTCAACATTGTTTTCACCCCTGGTTTTTGCATTCTTACTTTCTGCTCTTCTTTGAAGCTTTTATACCATTCAAACACACTTGTTCTTGATGAACATTCGTCACTGTATGCACTTTTCAACATTTAAAGCGTTTCAGTAGCTGTTTTCTTTAATTTTACACAAAACATACCCACTGTTCTGTTACATTTTGCAACCTTCGACATGATGGAAAAACTAACTTCACCAAAACAATTATAATCATATGCATCAACCAAACAAATCGAAACTTGCATATAATATAAATAAATGTTCTCTTTATAGTCACGTTCATCCCCAATGGATGGAATTAGTAATATTACTGTAGCATAGTTGGTTGAGGCACTATGCTACAAGCCGGAAGGTCGCGGGTTCAAATCCCAATGAGGTCACTGGATTTCTTCAATTGACCTAATCCTCCCGGCTGCACTATGGCCCTGGGGTCGGCTCAGCCTCTAACAGAAATGAGTACCAGTAATTAATTAATAATTTTCCTGGGGAGTAAAGTGCGGCCGGCGCGTAAGGCTGACAACCTTACTGCCATCTTTGAGCCAATAGACAATGTGGGACCCCCAGTGTCTCACGATCCTATGGGCCTTCATGGCCTGTTACAGGGATAGCTTTACCTTACTTTACTTTACTGTAAGAGCATCAATTTGGGAATTTAATTGTCATATTGTGTATATTGTAAAAGGAAAAAAGTCCCTGTACTTAACTAATTAAGAACTACACCATGAAGGTGTATGGGGGAGTGGATGTATAGATATATTTTTTCTTGATCTCAGCACTAGTTGGAAGTGAGTGGTCAGTTTCATGCCCCAGCTGCTTAACTCCAGGGAAAGAGCCCATGTTACTCATTGGATAGGAGGTTGGGTGGACCCCAGAGTAAATTTCCTCTTAAAATTTTGTGTCCCCTTGAAGGTGGTCATCTTAGGACTGAAACATGCTGGGGAAGTAATAGTATTTGATCAGTAAAATGGAAATAAAATAGATATACTTGGATGTTTATTTAACATATTATTTTATTATACAAAGTATATCAGTAAAATTAAAATTAAATTAAATTTAAGTGGATTTTTGAGAAGTCGGTTGTGAAGATATAGACTGTCATGATGTTGCTCAGGATAGGTATCATCAGAATTAAACTTTGGTTCCATTACACTGGAATTTCACGGTAAAGTGAATATTATTTGGTTAAGGAGTCCAGTTTATCATGTACTTGTTTGGTTCTTTCTGCTGCAAAATCCGTGACATCAGCTCACCCTAATCTTGGATTAGCCCCAGATTCAATTTGCTTGTAATGTCAGCTACACTGATTTTTCTGGTACTTTGTAACATTGAGAGACCAGGAAAGTCATAAAATGGTTGTCAGGATTGTTAGTAGGTAAACCAAGATCCTAACACGGTACCACCTGAACACAAACATAGTGTTATCATTATACCAGCCTGCTTGTGGCACCACACATTTGCCTTTGAATGCATGGATTTCATTCTTCCACCCAGAATATGAACTGTGTTCATATTTATCTTCCAGTCAAATTTTTGGTATATCTTCATTTTTAGCAAAATGATGAAATGGAAGTGACAACAATACATGTTCTTGGCCTGGATGAAGCCAGTGGTGACATGAAATTGGCATATGACAACACCCTCCAGGTGCCAATGTCAATGGAAACACTAGAGGTATACAGCTTTTGTTTCTGATAAATTAATTTTTAAATTAGTTTCCTTTAGTTTTGTTCATCTCTTATTGTCACAATATAGAACATTCTATATATTAAATCTGTCAATAATGCAACAGTCATTAATATTCACCATTTAATACTAACACAACATGTTTCAGCCACAGACGGCCATCATCAGTGGTTTCAAATGCGTCAAAACTTTACACTGCTTTGATGTGGGCTAAAATTGCACGTTGCAGTCATGTGGATTCCAACATGCAATTTTAGCACGTATCAAAGCAGTGTAACAGTTTTGACACATTTGAAATATGTGAGGATGGCTGTCTGTGGCCAAAACATATTGTGTTAGTGTTAAATGGTGAATATTAATGATCTGCATTATTGATGGACTTAATACATAGACGTTTAATTAAAGATGTGCAACAGGATGCTGAAATACAGAATCATAGAACATTCTTAAGTTTACAAGGAAGGAGATGTGTGGCCTTCAGGTATGGAGGGCAGTCATTGGCAAATAATGAGGTGGCCCACAAGCTTGGAGTCTGGGACATAACCTGATCATAAAAGCTAATGTTTTACATATTTTACCATGAAGACATAGGTTGTGAAAGGTTTTGGTATGATGCAAACAGTAGAAAAGCGATATTCTTAGAGAAATAGGGTGTCAAGCTGTGGACTGGTTTGAACTCTCTTTGTATTTGGTCCAGTGATGGGCTTTTGTGAACATTCCAGTTTCATAAAATGGAGAATTTCTTGGTCATTTCTTCGAATATTATTTGCTTAAGGAAGACCTTATACAATGGAATTATTTAAGTTTGATATTTATTTAAGAGTAAGCAAATGGAATTATCTTAATTGTAAGATAAGGTCTCTCCTGAATTTGGTCATGTCATGTATGTGACAGTATACATTATGATGTTAAGAATGTTGAACTTCTGGCTTGTGTTACCAAGATATTTAGGCCGTATCTGTACTGAAGTGATGTGGTTTCACTGAAACTTCAGCAAAATATAGCACAAGAGTTGACCACAGATAACTCCTCTTATTTGTTATGGGACCTGTCTCAATAGAATTACTGAGATATGCCCCAAGTGCAACCTGCATACATCTGATCACACATGACTTTGCGTGGCAGTATTCAACAGCTGCCAAGACCATGAATGACAAAATGGAGGCTGGTTCTGCAAGTAATTTGAAGACAGTGGAAACTGTGGAGAGGCATCCTTTATATAACTGTGAAATTTTGAAACTATAAAACACTCTTCATGCATTTAGTTAATCTGATTGAAATTCTTCACATGCTATGGAAGTTGATTCAAATAACCTGACAGCTGACAGTATTCTCTGTATATGGATGGTTCCACCACTTCGTGTTAATTTTTTCTGCTCTCAAGAGAAAGGCAGGAGCATCATTGTTATCCTTGCATCTTGCATGTGACTGACTGAAAAGAAATCACACTTGTAATCAGAAATTTAGTTGCCTAGTTGTTGAGAAAATTGTTTCAAAATCAAATCAAAATGACATCACTCTCTTGGACTGACTGTCTAAGTATTATATGAGTGTATTCAGAACACAGTATGAAGCAATGTTTGGACCTTACTGTTTCAGGTGCCTGTAGAAACTATGATGACTGAGAATGATGAGATACAGTCAATACACATTGGAGATTATGCAACAGTTGTCAGTCCAGTAGACAGTGCAGTCCATGAAAATCAGGTAAATGTTCTTCATGTAAATATTCAAGTAATTATTGTTATCTTGCTGCACTTGTTTCTTTTACGGCAGGAAGTCAGGTTCCTGCTTCTGTAGTTTATACACTAGCCTTTTAAAAGTGCAGGGATGCAGATAAGATCTAAAAGTTTGTGACGATGGTACATTAGTACAAATATAATGTTTTTGGACACTATCCATCATCTTGTCTTTATCTAAGAACCGTCCTGTTTATTTTTTAAAGAGACTGGATTCTGTATCTGTCTTCAGGTAAAACCTACTCAGTTGGGCCCAATCAATAGAACTAGTCCCAATCTCCGGACACCTATGCCAGCTTCAAGAAGTGGTACAGGGATGTGCTTTCTGGCCCTGCGCCAAATTTAAAAAATGTAGTTATTTTATTTCATGGTGTGCATTAGTATTGTATCATGTCAAACACTGTCACCTTATTTAGTTAAATGGCAATAAGGAAAAGAAAGATATAAAAAGAGAAAATTAGGACAGTTAAGGGAGTGGAGTTGTCAGCAAAAATCAGTTTGCTCTGTCACTACCAGGCCTGTCGCAGGACAAATGCTGAAAATTTTAATAAAATCTGTTAGATTGCATGTTATATCATTGCAGTGGGTACTACTGTAAAGTGGACTGCTGGTGCAAGTAGCAGGGCTCCAAGCTACTGGTATGGAAATGTTTTAAATTCAGAACTTGTATAGGAGTGAATTAGAAATGATAGGATGATATATGGATAGGGTGCTGGAAGGTCTGCAGAAAGATTCCTGTTTTTATGATTACATTGTATCATCAGTTCTCACTTGGGGGGGGGGGATAATTTTTTATTGGTACAAATGGCAAAATTAATTCAGAGGGGAGAGGTCATGTCTGTCTGCTCATCTGCCTACATGTTTCATCTCCAAAAGGTGACACATTTTGATTAAATTTTATATTGTGGGCAGGGGGTTTAGATTTGCAGTTTCCAGGTCAGTTTGTGATTCATGTGGTCAAATATAATACCTGCTTTGCATGGTGCTGAAATCTAACTTCAATTTCCTAAGAAAATGGCTCATTGTACATAAAAATTCAATATAAAATGATGTATAAAAATCATTGTGTTCAACAAACTTTTGTTTGAATCAATTTTTGGTTTATTGAACATTTTGCAGAATACAAGTAAAAGTGCATTCTCAGCATCTTATGTGAACAGCTTTGTAACAGTAAATTTATATCTCCACAATAGATTTAGGTAGAACAAGGCCATTGATGTACATTGGGAAAAGTGTGCTTTGTAATTTGTGCTCTTCATCAGATATTGTTCAGATGATAGTATGGAGGAGGATGAAATGGGTGAGGCATGTATCACACATGGGACAGATGAGAAAAGCTTACAAAATCTGCGTCAGTCTAATGGAAAGAGATTACTTGGAAAACCTAGGTATGAGAGGAGAGTACTAAAATGTATCTTGCAAGAAGAGGGTGAAAGGGTGGAGATCAGTGGTTCTCAATCTTTGTCAGACCGCATCCCTGTAAATTCTTTTTTCTATAAGATGAGGGACCAGTATAATTGATGGCATGGCTGGCGGTTGAGAAACACTGGTGTAGATGAGATTCATCCAGTTCAGGAAAGGGTTTAGTGGCAGGCTCTTTTGTATGCAATAATGAACTTTTGGGTTCCATAAAATGTGGGAAATTTCTTGACTAGCTGAACAACTATAGGCTTCTCAAGAAAGACTGTTTCATAAGTTAGTACTCTAAATTATAGTATACATTTATTCTCCTGTTTCTGTGCTTCTGCAGTTAATATTATGTTGCTTTAAAATTGTTGACATGTCATGCTTAAGTCTGACAGACTAAGGCTGAAGTAGCATTTTATGTTGGCTTCCTGTTCTAGTCTATGGTGATTTCCTCAGCATACTCTCAACCGAACTGCTTTGTTACCGTCCAGGAAAATGAAGTTTTGTCTCTCCCCTCTGGTTGGAACAAGTCTCAGTTACCAACTGTTACTAGAGTGGTAAAAGGTAAAGTAGAGCTGTCTCTGTGTTTAACTAATTAAGCATTATGCCATGAAGATGTATGGTGGAGTGGATTTATGTTTTCTTGACCTCGGCACTATTTGATGGTGAGTTGTCAGCTTCACCCCCTGACCACATTAACCCCAGGGGAAGTGTCCCCAGTATCCATTGGATAGGAGGCTGGGTGGGCTCCAGATCCAGTATGAACTCTGAGAAGAAGAGAAAATTCATTACTCTATTGGGACTCAAAGACTGATCCCTCGGCCATCCAGCCCGTAGCCAGGCTGAGGTAAAATCGAGAGATCCAGTTGGTAAATTTATATGTATGAATTTTACAGATATCGTTACTGTTGCATCTTTCATATATTCAGTTCATTAAGAAACCATCTGATAAGAGATGCAGATTTAATTAGTAAATGATTTATTCGACCCTGTGTGTTTTGGCTCTTCAGCCATTCTTAGAGGTGTCCACTAAGTTTCAAGAAGAATGAAAAGTTCTGCAGTTCATTGTGTGTTATGTTACTGATTTTGAAAAAATTAATCACAGTTTAACAGTTTATGGCTAAAGTACTAAAATACAATAAATTATAATTCAAGTGCAATTATCAGAGCAGGCAACTTATTCTCCGCTATGTCCATCATGTAGTTGTTGGTAGTCTGAAGTGTATTGAAAGGCCTCACATTGTATGATTCTGTATTTCAGCATCCCGTTGCAATTGTTCAACTTAATGTCCATTATTTATCGTCCGTCACTATTGCAGCACTCTTCCATTCACCACTCAGTTCTTAGTTTAACATTATACACCTTGACACTGCATGTATCGGCCCCAAATGACCATCTTCAGGTGTCTTGATAACCAGATAAAATCCTTTAAAGTTTCTATTATACCCGTGTTATTTTGGTGCATATTATTTCACCTCACACGGGGTGTCATCCATTTTCATAAATGTATGTCTGTCCAGGGTGTTTTGTCTCAGCAGCTTGCCCCTCACGTTCATAGCCTACTTTTCAGTTATGACTGCCGTATGACCCTGGTTTGCATGTTTCCTCCACAGCATGTGGTGTTGTCTTTAAAGAGTGTGTTGTAAAGACAACACCACACAATGTAGTGTCAAGGTGTATAATGTTAAACTAAATATTGAGTAGCGAATGGAAGAGTGTTGCAATATTGACGGACGATAAATAATGGACGTTAAGTTCCACATTGTATGTTTCGTCTAGTGTGTGTATCCTTCTGTTGTATACTGCAGTAGTATAAGTGTGACCTGTTATATCTTCATAAATTATTATATTCTGATACTGTAGGCTTGAATTGCTAAACTTATTTAATCCCATTAAAATTAATAATAATATAACAGATGATGAAGTATCACATGTTTAATCCTTTTTCTGATTTGGTGAGTGTCCCTGAGGATGGCTGAGTAACTGAAGCAATAGCAAGGAATTAATTATTTATTGACTAAATTAGCATATTGTATCAGATGGTTTCTTATTGAACTAAATATATGAATATTAGTTTTTAAAATATTGTAAAATTATGTTGAAGCATAAGTCCTTAGCATGTCTGTACAGCAGCACTCTTGCATATTCAACAAAGACTGGCTAGCTATCAGTTCTGTATTAGTTTTTTATCAGCAGTGGTGCATCTCTGTCAAAGATTTTACCAGGAATAATGGAGAACAGCTTAGACAAAAAAATTCATTGAAGGGAATAAGCAATTTGTAACAAAGAAACAGACATTATTCGCAGTGTAGTGGTTTACTGTGCTAGGTATTTACACAAACAGTGTTATCTAACAGAAGATAAAGGTTATATTTTGTGGTGTGGAAGAGATTAACTATATCGTGATAGGGAGGGGCTTGCTGTGTTTTAGGTATGTGTTTTGAATGAAGTTAGGAATCTGGAGACATGGGTTAGAGCGCAGTAGTCATTGTTACTGAACATTAAGTACTTCTATTAAATTGTAAGATTTGAGGCTTTCACAGCGGTGACTATGAAGAAAGCAGTCTTCTGGGATTTGGCACCGTGTATATGTGGTGTTAACCGACGTTTCAGAGGAACGTATCGCCTCCATATAACGCGTCTTGGTGGCGAGAATGGAGCTTCAGAATACCTCCATCCTCGCCACCAAGACGAGCCATATGCACAGCACCACTAAGGAAACCATGGCAATNCTCAGCTTACGGTTTAGAGCCCAGCCCTTAACCTTGCTTTTCTCTCCCGTACACAAAACCACGCTTGCCCCAGCTCCCTTCCCCTACCCCTCCCTCACCACTGCTTTCACTTGTATACTTGCCCTTCCCCCCTTCCCTCTCTGCTCACACATAGCTGTGTTATTTCCAGTCTGCTTTTACCGTTCTCACGGTCTTGTCGCTTGCAGATTTCTTATACTTTTTCTTCTACCCTGAAGATGGAGGCGATACGTTCCTCCGAAACGTCGGTTAACACCACATATACACGGTGCCAAATCCCAGAAGACTGCTTTCTTCTATTAAATTGTTTGTTCTGTAGGTTCAAGAGGTTACATACGATTTGGGCGTAGTCGTATGATTGCAGACAAGCACACCAGTATTCCTGTGGCAGAGTTCAAGGCACAGCTCAGTGATACTTCTGACATCATCGGTAGGATGGATCTTGCTCCTGCTACTAAGAAAATGATGAACTACCTGAACACAAAGGGTTTTGTGAAACTGTTCTCATCTCCAGGTAACACTTTTAATTAAGCTGGTAAAATTTTTCACACTGACATATGTTTCAGGTAAAGTCCCCCCCCCACATTTTGAATGCAGCAAATTTTTGACTGATACCATTGATCCTAACAGCACAGTAGTGGAAAGGTATAGCATGCTGGAGTAAACATATTCTCCGGACGGATTTTCTAGTTTTCTCTCCCCCTCCATTTCGTTATTGCAAAGCCAGTCATGCTGTACAGTCAGAGATTTATTTATTTGTACATTGTTAAATGTTCATCAAACCAAAAAATGTTTCAAATAGAATTTGTAGATATCATTGAGGTATACTTTTTGTCCTAGTGTCGATTAGTTACATTTTCACATGCAACACTATGTCTTATAAAATTTATTAACTTTAGAAGTTCATCACTACATGTTTCAACCAATGTGGTGATCCTTAGGTCATTTACCTCTTTTTTTGGAATCTTAGTAAAATTCAGTTTTATTCCAACATAAAGTATGGGTTGCATTTTGCATTGGGCTGCTGTGAACCAGAATTTAATTTCCTTTGCAACTGTCAGTGTAGACTCCCAGTCCTGATTTTATTTAAGTCTGTTCTGCAGTTTTGAAGGTGAAACATATTGTTGTGTGTAGGATAGTACGCATGACAAAAATGGTGGGTTCTAGTTTGGGTGACTGGATTTATTAGCTTTTCGGTTACACACTCACTTAATTACACTTAAATACAGGTAATACAGTGCTATCACTGATCTGCACACTTTCCAGTTCACCGTTGCCCACGCATGTCTTCACTAGTCATCCCCTGGCAATGGATCTCAACACAGAAACTGCAAATAGTCTCACTAGATTACACACTTCCAATCCCACTGCACTATAGTGCACATAAAGTCTTCACAGGCAGACCTCCTATACTCTCCTGTACTCCTGGTTTCAATTTGCTCTTCCAGATTATGACTGACTCCAGCTTATTTCTGCAGCTTTTGAATTCTGCTCACTTTTGTAGGTGTGAGACGGGCAATGCATCACAGTAAACACATGTCATGTGATTGCTACCCACTGCTGTTGTGTGATATCACAGCGCATGCGTTGTATAGCAATGGTCCATCCGCGAACGTAGAAAACATTCTTTCTGTACTGTTGGCTTGCATATATGTTGCAGGCGTAGTCTAGCAACAGTCGATGTTTACAGATTCACTGCCTAGCATTGGGTCTGTACGCCACAATATGTTCCTTTTATGCATTCTGTGTGAAGGGTATTAAAAGTGCTCACTCTTAGTACAGTTCAGTTTAATGTTCATACCTAATTACTGTACATTTTCCATTGGCAGTGTTGGCTTTAGTTCTGTTTTATGTCAGTGCTTGAGATTCTTGCTAGTGTTTGTCAGTCCCCTGGATGGGATACTAGGCTTTTGGAAAGCATGTCTAGTGGTGGGATGCCACCTTTTAGTTTCTGGGCAGGCTAAAGCTACCTATTACTTTTATTGAAAAATTAATTCATTTATTGTTTTACCAATACATTCCTCTATTAATAAATATAGGAATTCATCTCATTTTCTTTGAGAATGGATATATGCCTTGTTTTGCATTTGGTTTTGTGACCAGAGTAAAACAAAGCAAGGAAAGAAGAACCTTTTAAGAAGTTTCAGGAACAAAGAGACTTAAAGAGTTGACATTATTATGTAAACAGAATACAAGAATTCAATTCAAAAAAGTAAACTGAAATTTCCTCCACTCTCTTATAAAGAACATATAACTGTGTTATGGAACAGTGTAAGTCTCTAAGCTTATGGTCTTTTACTAAGTGTCCAGTAAACTAGTTCTGTCCATTTCATATCTTAACTTATTTCTCTGAGAACCATTTTAACATTATACTTCCATATGTACCCCTGTCTATCCCATACTTTTCCAATTTTGTATGCATTCCTAGTCTTTGTGTGCTGCATGTCCCACTCTTCACATTATGTACTTAATCACTGTAACAGTATTATGAGCATAATAACTATTCTGAATTTCTGTTATGGGGTTCTGTTATATAGTTTTCCCAGTTCCCCTGATACGTCATTTTTCATAGGCCCGGATGTTTTCCTAAGCACTTGTTATTTTACTCCATACTTTAGCAAAAAATGCAGCCTTAGTTCTCGTGATTACTAATTATGGGATCAACAGGTAAGAAGATGAATTGTTCGGAACACATACATCTATATACAAGGCACCTGACCCTGAGGCAGGCCCCCGTAGAAGAGATTTATGATGATATGGTGTTGCTTCCACTGGGTTATCAGCGTGAGGGTGAGTTGATAATGCACATGGCTCTATAGCACTTTGTGATAGACTCTCACAGTATAATGGTTAGCATTCTTACTTCATAATTGGCCGCGCCATAGCTCAAGTGGTTAGTCACTGGCTTCCCACCGCGGCGGCCCGGGTTCAATCCCGGGTCTGGTCAAGTGTGACTTGTGGTGGACAAAGTGGCGCTGGGGCAGGTTTTCTCCGAGTACTTCGGTTTTTCCTACCAATCTTCATTCCACAAATTCCACAATCACCCTCACCTATCACCTGGGGCTGGTACAATAGGCCAGAAGTGGCTGCAGTACAAGGGACTTAGTCCCACCCCACTAGCAATAAAATAAATAATACTTCATAATTGGAAGGTCTGTAATTTGAATGTGGAGACCTTGTGTCCTGACTTTTTCTGTAGTTTTCCCCAGTTGCTGTAGATATGTGCCGTGGCCATTTTGTTATTCTTTACAGTCAACATTCTTCTCAGTTACCCAGTGCTATATAACTTACATATTTTATAAAGCATCAGAAAGTAAATATAGGAGCATGTTATGTTTTGTTGTATTCACAGTTATCCTTTGTTCTGTCAGCCCCAAGTAAAGCTTAATATTTGAACTTCTGTTCAGAAAATTAGATTTCCATACCATTTACATGATAGTGTAGTTGTCTTTAGAACTTTTAGAAGAATTTGAATAATTTTTTCTAGCTTTAGAAAATAATGTGCAGTGTTTTGTGTTTGTATTTCTGCTTTCAGTGGATCCGACAAAAATCAAGCGTATCACACGCCGTAGAAGATATCCAGAAGCTGAAGAATATCAACGTAGGTTGATCCAGGAACAAATGCAGCAGACATTTGACAATTTAGTTGCTGAGAGCCAAAAGAACATGGAGGCCGTCTTTTTGGAGAATTCTGGTAACTGAGTGCATTGATGGTTTAAAGCACAAATATTACTCGTATTCAGTGTTAAATATTCAGTTTTCAGTAAAATTGAATCATTAGTGTTCTGATATGATATACAGTAATTTGTAATCCCTTCTTCTGTCAAGGTTATTCCTGGACAATTTTCGTGCATATATAAGATAACACATTTAACAAACAAGGGCATGCAGTACCACAGAATTGATAAAAAATAGACAAAGTATTTCTTCCCTAAACCACTTGTATGTCAACTGATTTTCTCATAAGTCACAGTTGCAGCAACACTAATAGCAGAGCACACTGTTAAGTATAATTATGATCCATTTAAATTCATTTCACATTTGTAGTCTTGCCTGAATGTAACACCTAGTTAAAGATTCATTGTAAGTATATAATTATAGTAAAACAACAAAACATTACATGTCTAGTAAAGAAACAATACAAATAATTTAAAATTTCTAAAGTGGCTGTAACCCAACTAGCTGGCCATATTATTGAACCCTTTTAGCATAGAATGGTGGATTTAACACCATCACAGGTTATGGGTGACTTTTCAGGACACATAGTTGATGTGGCTCAAATATTGCACTGACAGTTCAGTAAAATCTGTATTAAAACAGAGATTTGGATCCATAAAAAACTGAACCATGTAATTTTGCCCAACCTTAACATGAACTGAACCTTTGAAATGTATATCTGAACCTTGAACTTGAAGCAATAATTTCTTAATACATGTTCACGGTTACTTTTACCAGTTTGCTGTAGACCTAGTTTTGTAATTTAATGTAATACAAAATGTGCTTAATTCAGTATTTTGGACATAACAGTTTCCAATTGCTTTTCTGCCCTGTTTCATCCGCAGGCATTAGAAGAACACTTTAAGCAATGTAAAGTAAAGTGCACTCCCTTTCTGGTATGTCTGCACATTGTTGTCATATGTGTTGCTGGTGATAACTGATTTGCCAAGGGAAAATGTTTGTCTTCTTTTGATAAGACTTTGTGAGTGATGTGTTGAATGGAATATTAAGTTTGCGAATATAACCTTAAACTTTCATGTTGTTGCCATGTTCATAATTACTGACTTATAAATACTGATATTTGTCCAATTTGTAGGAATGTTCATGATCTGTCTTTGAACAAAATTTCATATTTCTAACCTCAGAAGTCCAGTAGTTAATGTAAAATTGAAAGTTAAAGGAAAATGTTTGCGCAACCATCCTGTCATTTTCTAACATTCTGTAGAGGAAAGAAAATCACAAAACCAATATTTTTCAAAGCTCTGTTTCCATACATCACATCAGGATCCTATGTCAGTTGGTGCTAATGTCTTATCGATTTATTCCTAGTTCATATAGCAGAAATTTCCGTCGCTCTGATTAAATTCTATTGAATGAGATAGTATGACAGTCAATAATGAATTGTGAACGATTTGAAAGGAAGTGACTGTGGATAAATTTGAGGTACTGTACTAGGATTTTTCTGGAGGGATTGAGGAAAAACGTGAAAACCTCAGTAAGTATATCTTTGACCTTCCAAATATGAAGCAGAAGTGCTACACACTGGACAGTGATATACAGTGGTGCTAGTGTGTGGCCCACATTCCAAGTTCGATTGTCCACCATGCTGTTATTACTGATTGTAAGAAACTGTAATGTATTAGGTTGGAATGAATGACCTTCAAAATTGTATGAAAGTTGGTTAATTTATTTAAGTGTTGAAAGTGAAGAGCACACACAAAACATTGTTGAGTGCACAATTTCCCCCCACGTCATGGGAAAAAGTAGGCCAAAGGTGTGGGAAGCTTATTTGAGATTTCTGTATTGGATTCGACATCCTAATTTTTGCCTGTGTCAGAATTGTCTTGTGTTCATTTCATTCATTGAATTGTCTTTAACCCTTCAGCGTGGTTTGCCGTACACGGTACGCTGGCATTTAAATGGTCCTACCTGCGGTTTGCCATACACTGTATGCCAAGCCGTAAGCCTAATTTCGAAGGCCCATAAATATGGAACGAAACATGCCAGCATGATGACGATTGCACTAGGCTGTTGTGAAAAGAATACCATAATATTCAAGATCCTGCAGCACTGCCAGTCAGTCTAAATAGAGCGCGTGACCTCACAGTTACAATCGCCAAGTGACTATGATATCAACATACCACAAAGATGATATGCGTGTGGTTGTAAATAAAGCAAACAAACAAGAAACAATCCCATGGTTGTTTGTGATTACAACAGAAACATGGAAGGAGTGGATCTGAAGGATCAAATGCTACAGCCATACTTGCTTGAACGAAAGAAGAGTACTAAGTGGTATCAGAAGTTATTCAAGAAGCTACTCAATGTAGCAATACATAACGCAATGGTCATATATCGGTGTCTCCCGAATAACAAAAACATGGACACACTAAAGTTCAGACGTTCACTGGCACAAGGCCTCGTGGAAAAACACGGTTCTGGTGTTCTTCGTCCTGTATACGGCCGTCCGTCAGTTGAGCCGCCGCGTAAAAGACTCACAGAACGACATTTCCTGGAGCGTATTCCAGCCAAAGGAAAAAGGCAAAGCCTAAAAAAAAAGATGTGTGGTGTGCACAAAACATGGCAAAAGGAAAGAATCTGTTTACTGGTGTAGTGAATGTGAGGCAGGGTTGTGTTTAGATGGATGTTTCAAGAAATACTATACAAAACTCAAATTCTAATCCACTTGCTTCCACCACTTAGATACAGGGTGCTCATATTATAAGGTAAGATTATAAAACCATCTTTTAAGATGATTTCAGTGAAAAATTCATAATTATATCTCATATAGTTCAAAAGTTATGATACATAATATAATTTAGAGCAAAATTTAAATGGGCAATATAAAATACTACCGCAGGAGGCCCCACAACAGTGATATTTAAATGCCCGCGCTGAAGGGTTAATATGCTCAGGTTGGGTACGTATGTATACTTAAAAAAATATAATCTGGTTCCTGTTCTCCAAAATAGGCCATGGCCTTCTTTTCCATTCTTGTTTGGCTTGGGCCTAAAACTACAGCTGTATATAATGAAATGAAGTAATGAATGTAGTTGTTTTGTAGGCTCACTGAGAGAGGAAGATCAGGGCAACTTGCAGGTCCTTGTTCAAGCTGTGGAGAATGATACACTGGAGCATGAAGGAAGAGGCAGTCATTCAGGTAGTGTACTGAAGAATGTGCTTCCTTTTCAAATTAAATATGTAATTATGAAGTCAGACATTGATGATCAAAAATAATTTTGCTAATCTGGAACATGGGAATTCCATTTGTGTAAAATTGAGCTGGTAATGTTCAAAGTTAATTGGTCTTCTATAGTTCTTGTTATACTGTTTATGGCAGGAGTGAACTGAATGTTTCATGTTCTTAGTTTAAACTTTTACTGTTGGGTTAACCAGCTGTGAGATGGGATTACGTATGTTCATTGATAATCCAGCAGTTACATCTTGCTGGGAAAAAATGCACCTTGAACAATGAATATCTATTCTGAATTGTTCTGACAGTTGTGTATTGTAGATAGTATTACTAGCTTTCCAGACTCATTTTATAGGTGGCACTAGCAGTAGGTGATTTAAGTACATGCAGTTTTTATTTTTTTTTTATTTTTTTGTGGGACATAATTTTATATCTTCAGAAGAGCTGGCATAATTTTTGTTTTGTATTTTATTATCTCACTGTGACAATACCTGAACTGGGTGAATGTATAGTCTTGTTTTATTAACTATGTAATGGGTGGGATTACCTATTTCTAATGGGCCCAACTGAATATGTAGCCCTCACTTGAGGAAGGGAGCAGATCCAGTTCTTGAAACATTGTGTTCTGTTTTAGAATATCAGTTGATGGACAAAGGCCAGAAAGCTAGTAATACTTAAAGACAATATCAATTCTCACTCTCTCAATATGATTTTGAATTCAGTCTTTGATGTGAACATCCCTTTACAAAATGCAGATGTGGCAATACTTGATAATGATTGTACAGGGTATATGTATTTTGGAGACACGTTTAATTTTGTGTGGGCTACTGGCCGTTGTAACAAGTATTTATTTTTTTCCTAAATCTCTCCAGGTGAATGCTTAGACAGTGCATTCATATAGACAACAGTGACCTTCATATTGTTATGTTCTGGTTTATGGCACCATGTAGACAAGGAAGTGGGTATCAGCTTTCTGAGCAACATGCTGGCTCTGTCTTTAGGGTTGATATCCACTTTTCAGACTATCCTGTCTGATAACCCAGAAGACCATAATGTGAACGTACTGCCATGAAAACCTCAAATCTCATGTACAGAATCATCTTCTATAGCCATATTTTCTATTCATGATCATCTTCCAATTTTATTTGATACTTGAGAACTGAGAGGTTGAAACTTTGTCATGAAGTAAGTAATCAGTTATTGAACATTAATGCTATACTGTGGCTGTCTAGGGCATAGTTGCTCGCATGTAGGCCTTGTGTATTGTTTAGTAGTTACCAGACACATGGGATAGGCTGTTGGCAGGAATTATTTTTTGTGCAAGAAAACCATTGATGAAAATGGAGGTATACAGAAAATCATAGAATGTTAATGCTATTACATATGCTGCTGCTTTTGTGTGTATGCAGTTATGTTCAATATGATAATGCTGAATTCTGATTATGCAGGGACTGAACCTATGTCATTAGATCAGGAAGACTCCCGCATAGAGGAACACCATGAAAACCCATCAGGTGATAGTCTGTCATCAGGAGACTGGCTTGGAACTGTCCAGCAGTTCATCATCATTGTTCCTAGTGACCCACTTGTAGACACAATCACTGAGACTGTGATAACATCATGAATCACCATTTGTGGTGCAAGGTTGTTCTTATGTCTGGTGAGGTGAAGGCTTATGCCATATTGCATGAAACAGTCTGACAGTATGTGGTACCTATGCGTAGGCACACTGTAACAGAAACGCAGTGGACCCAGCTGCTTAGAGGTAGATCTGAAACAGACTGTAGAGCAGTGTTTCTCACACTTGAGATATTGCAGATTGGTATGTATATTTAAATGGTGCTGTAGGTCAGTACTTTGTATTTATTAATGAATTGACCTTTATTGCATCACAAAATAGCAAACTTTAAAACAAAATAATGATACAGTATCAAAATATTATTTTAAAGTTACTTTGCACTTTCAGTTTTTCTGATTTTGAGAGAGAGGGAGAGGTGTGATGATGGAGGACAGCTCTACTACTACTTGTTCCTTCCTGTTTTACTTCCCCCTTTGTGACTGTTGCTTGGGATCATGCCAGTTGATGATGTAATACAAATAAATAATTGTGTACAGTTGTAATAGAAGTCAGTATGTATTAATGAAACAGAGTACAAATAATGAGGTTGTAACATACACAATAAGCCTTTATAACAGTGGCCACTGATCTTGGTGGGGTTCTAACTTGTTTGTAGAGTTTACAGATAATAAGGCCAAGGCCAACCATCTTTGAAGCGGTTGTACCACTCCTTCATCCGTGAGTTGCTCATGGCATCATCCCCGAAAGCCTGTTGAATCTTGCGAATGGTTTCCACTTGGGTATCGCCAAGCTTTTGGCAAAATTTAATACAATATCGCTGCTCATGTTGTTCTGTCATTTTACACCTTACTGAAATCCGACGAGCGCTCACTACATGTCCTGACTCATAGCTGACTGCCAGCGACTGACGCTTTCTGCAGGTGGGAAAAAATTCACGACTGCGCATGAATGTCCCCTCCACATCTCCACCAAAGGGAGCCTCCTGCGCTTCATTGGTTTACACGGGAAAAAAAGTTTCGATACTTTTTGAACACACCACGTATTGTTCCAGTCCCAGAACCAAGTTACTGAATTAAAGCTGAGGCCATAAATGACTCGTTGCACTCTGATGCTCTCCCAGGTCTGACTGGAAGGTAGAGGGGGGAGGCAGGAAGGACAACTGCCGGGTAAAGAGGAGTGAGGGAAAACTACATGGCACGTTGGAAAGTGCAGTACAAGCTGCTTTGCAAAATCTAATATGTTGAGCTCAAGATGCATGGATCAGTTTTACTGCTGTTTATTACAGTGTGTTTAATCTATTTATTTATTTGCATTGGTGGTAAAATTTATAAAAATTGCATACAAACCCTAACTATAATATTTTTAAAAAAATGTTCCAAATTAATTACAGTGGAAATGCAATATAAGGAGTAAGGCTTATAATGAGAAAAATGTCAACACCGTCAGTATGTTAGTGTTACATGTATAAAAAATACCTAATATAAGACAAGGGCATTTCTTCTGGCACTTTTCATCATGATGACTGATACCTAGCCAACTGGAACTTACATGCCATGTTTTGCACAAACTGTACTTGCAGTTTTGCTTCCAAAGTTATTTATAGCTGTTGATTCCTAAAGTTGCTGACAATTTTCCCTTGTTTGGACAACCAGATTTCGTAGTGAGAGAACTGTATGTCTGGAGATATTTCTCCACTGAGGCAGAAGTGCTTAGCATGACAAGCTGTTCTGATTCTTGATAAAAGAACATGGGCTGATGGTTGTGAGTACAGGAGAGTATGCAAGAATCAGAAAGTCTTTAACTTGATGGTTCATATAATATGAAAGACGTCGAGAGGGTTGAATTATTCCTTCCTATTTTCATATCTACACGTGAAAATGCATTTTGATATTGTCCTTTATTACTGTCAGGTGTTAACAGAAATTTTCGCCGACAAGCGGCGGGTGCTCAGTTGGTATAGTTCGCTTGCAGACTAATATCATGGAATTTGTTTTGTTTGTTTGTTAACAGAAATTTAGATATGTTGACATATTTAAGGTAACTCCAAATATCAAATTTGAAGAAAATCCATTTAGTGGTTCTCAATTTGTTGCATGTAGGCATCCAAACACGGCAGTGCAGATACAGATGTTTCCACTGGTTCTGTTACAAACACGCCAAAATAAATGTTGTGGTGCCTACATTATCTTTTTTAAATCTTTGTTCAGGGTAGTAATATATATTTAAGTAGAATGTGGTCTTGAAGATTATGTATTTTAACCGTTTTCAGATAGTATGAGCACTTGTTATAACATTTTTAAAAATTTTATATGTTCTTGTTATATTGAAGTTTTACTGTATCTAAAAGTGACAGCATTTTTAATTCTTTTTTTAATTTTTTTTTTAATTTTTATTCACCAGTATGCTTCTCATTCACTGGAACTGGATGGAACTTAAATTTTATTGGCTCAACATTACTGTGGTATATGTGCTTGCATGCTTCCCATTGGTTGTGCAGTATGGGATATCTTACTTACAGCAAGGTGCAACATGGCTTTAGCATTCAGTCTGTATCTTTGTAAATTTTATGATTGGTCATTATGGAAAATCCATGTCCACTAAGATATGTAGAGCCAGAAGAAAGGAGTACACATATAACATTGTCACTGATGTTCTTGTACTGTGCTCTGACACCCAGATTTCTGGAAGAGATTTGCTCTTATTTCCTGATTTCATCTTCATGGTCTTTAGTTTGTTTTTTCATGACAAGTGAAGGAGTTTTGCACCCACAGATAGCCTATTTATGGAGTCTGACTAGATGGAGTGATTAAGTCCAACACTATTGCCATTCAGCTTATGAAATTTGTATAAACATTTTGTAGTCACTTTAAATCCAATTTGCTGGTTTATTCTGACATTTGTCAACCTTGTTATCAGTTGTGAAAACTTTGCATATTGATCCTTGTACTGACGTGTGGATCAAAAAAGAAGGCATACATATAGAGAGAGCTGTGGCACTAACATTCTTTTGTTCTCTCATCCAGAATGTTGGAAGAGACTTGTCATGGTACAAAGAGTGGGGGGAGGGGCCGCATATCCACCTTCAATTCTAGAAGTTCATGGTACTCTTCTTTCATTGATTTGTTTGTCTGGGGCAGGAAGACAAATGACGGACTCATGCGCTCATAGATAGCCTGTTCTTGGGTCTTGCCTAGGTGGAAGGAATGATTCCAAACGCTTGCAATCTGGAAAGTTTGTGCTGCAGCAGATGAATTTGAATGTCATTTCAAAGTTCATACGGACAGGTTCATTTTTTGCTACAACAAAGCTCGTTATATTTAGTAAAGAGTATCAGCCAGGCTCACTGCCACCTGTTGGCCATTTGTTTATAAAATGTGGGATCCTCGACATCTCTCAACCCCATGGGCCTCCATAGCCTGTTACAGGGATAGCTTGGTTTTTTTTGCAGAGTAGTAGCTGCTGGTGTCAAATTTTGTTGCAACTGTGGACTGATGTATAAGTCTGTGGAAAAGAGAGGGATTATGGTATGGAAATTCATAAATATTGTGGCATGCCACCTAAGAGCCAGAATATATGAGTCAGAGCGGGCATCCATTGTTAGGCAACAGCTTGGTGTCCATGGTTCTGTATCATTGTCTGGGTGACAATGAAACATGTTCATGTGACAACGCATACATAACAGACTGTCACCATGGAAATGAAAACCAGGACTAGTGCAGTTCTCGCGGTAACGAATACATTAGCTACCAATGCATAGAACACCTGAAACGGAACACTTGAAAAAGGTGTCTTCTAGGCTGTCCATCTGTTGGTTATAACAGAGCATGACAGAAGTCAGACAACACACAGAAGTGAGAGGAGAGTTCCATTGTCAGAATTGCAGCCAGTAGAAGGCAGAGCTCAGAAGTGAAGTACGAGAGAACACAGAAAGTGTGTGAACTGTAATGTCCAGTAAACACAATAGTCAAATCTAAGAATTCACAATCATTTGTCATGGAACCCCAGATGTGTGACAGATTTTTATTATATTGAAGCATATACAGTAATTTATATGCATTTCTCATCTCCCACGCATGCCACATGCCCTGGGGAAAGCATTCTTCTTGACTTGGTCCATTTGATAATAGAGCTGTTACCAAGTAAGGACTAGTGAAAGCAGACTGAGAAGACTTAATGTGGAGCAATTTGTTGTGTGGAAATCAGCAATAGTGTTACAGTTAATTGTAGTTACGACCTGTAAGTGGCCAGTAAATCTATTCACCAATCAAAACCCCATCTAAATCGTAAAAATATGTTGTTTATACATTTAACCTTTTAAGGATGCAATTTCTCATGCCCTTTCTTTGCTCAGAAATTTTTGTTCACAAATTTGGAATATCATGTACATGTGGCAGCTTTATTTGCCCACTTGTTTGAGCAGAGGTCTTCTTTCAGCCATGACCTCTTAGCATGGATATGGGCAACTGGTGGCAAAATATTTGTGGTTAGTGTTCAATACATTAGTCAGAGGATTAAATTAGCAATGTTTTTCTTTCATTCAATGTGATGTAGTTTAATCAATAAGCAGTTATCATTGGTTATGATCATGTATTGATTTTTCCATCATTGTGGGAAATCTTATGACAAAACCTCCATTTTTTATCCTCCAGTAAGCACTCCTCTTGTATAGGTGTCCACTCTTATTCATCTTTTACCTCAGTCAGTTCTCTGTGTTGTCCTTTGTCCTCCAGTGGTCATTCCGTAGAAATCTTATATTTTTATGCCCCAAATTCTTCTCCTCATGGATTTTGATAGGAAGGTAATATGTTTTATGTAAATTAAGTTACTTATGTTTGGAAGTTCTCTGTACAGTTTTCTCCCACATATTGGTGAAAGTGTCCTTCAAAGTGTTTTTCTTTTCAATGGCACTTCCAGCGCATTCAGGGCCCTGGCCTCTTATTCAGTTCCATAATCATTTTTCACAGATGGTAGGACTCCTTGGATGAATGATCAGCTCATTGCAGGGCCTCTACCTAAACACAGGACAGCACAAACATAGAATAAACACATACACACACCAAACATCCATACCTTAAGCGGGATTCAAACCCGCGATCCCAGCGTCTGAGTGAGCAAAGACAGTTCTTCAGAGTGTTATCTTTACATTTTATTTTTGTATGTTGTATCTACTGGGCAGGGCATATAGCACGAATGGGTGAGACGAGGAATGCACATAGGATATTGGTGGGAAAGCCAGATGGAAAGAGACCACTGAGAGGGGTAGGTGGGTGGACAATATTAAAATGGATCTTAGAGGTATAGGATGGGATGATATGGATTGGATTGATCTGGCTCAGAATAGGGACCAGTGGAGGGCTCTTGTGAACACGGTTATGAACCTTCGAGTTCCATAAAATGCTGGGAAATTCTTGAGTAGCTGTAGAATTGGCGGCTTCTCAAGAAGGGCTCAGTTCCATGAGTAAGTAAGTAATGTCGTATCTACTCATACATTATCTACAGCTACACTTTTTACCCAAATTATTTAAAAATTTAACTTTTCTGGACTCTTGCCATTTGTTTTGTTTTCAGTCTCCTTGTATGAATTGTAATTGCAAAACACATTTTTCACTTTTTGTAATTGATGACTCTCTTTACGGTCTTCAGCAAACATTTGAAAACCATCAAGAGGACTATTGAATAAATAAACAACATGCAAGATGATTTTATGTTTTGACATTACATTTAATGAAGACAAGCAATAACTGTTTGTTGGCTGAGATATGATGCAGTGAATAATAAAAACAGTGCATATTTAGACTGATTGTAAAATGTATAAATTTGTAAATTACTAACGATAGCAATGAAAGATGAAAGATGTTAACTTTCATATATTGTTGCCAATGAAATAATGTACTCACATGATAATACATAACAATTTTTCACAGATTGTAGTGTTCTAAACTAGCCTGTATTTGAAATGTGGCAACCAAAATTAAATACAATGAAATACCAATGTTTGTGGTTCTGTTTAAGATTTGTTATGCATTTGTATGAACTTGTTTCTGTTTTCTCAATTTTAGATTTCTCCATTTTGATGTGTTCCTCCCCCCTTCATTGAGAGGTTCACATTGTCTTAACCCAATGTGAATGTAACAGTTGGGGTTTCACTGTATTTTTTATGGTCATTGTCAAAAAATACATATCAGATTATGAATGTCATTTTTATATCATACTGCTGTCATGTTAAAAGGGAGGCTGATATACTACATAGTCTTGAGTTTTGCTTTGTTCATTCATTCAGTAATTAAACATCTAATTCTTAGATGAAAACAGTAAAGATGTATTTTAAGAAAAAACAGTGAATTGAAAGTGAATGAGGCTCTGTAGAAAGTCATTCCTTGTTTTCAGTGTGTATCCCGTTATTCAAAGGGGATGGGGGAAGATGAGTAAGAGCATGACCATTTTACTGTTGATTAATAGATTATTTAATGATTCTCCCTGTGCTGCACAGATTATTTAGTGCTGAATTATGTGTAAGGATAAAATGGGAAGAAGTGGTTGTGCTCTTTTTCAGAGTATCTTATATCAGCATCAAAATATGTGATCTGACAATAAAGCTCACAAAATCAACACAGTGAAAACGCTACATACCTCATTGCTGAATATCACTGTGGTCACCTTCAGAGTACTCCCCTTGGGAAGCTATGGACTGATGCCAGTGCCTAGTCCACCCTTCAAAACAATTTTGGAACTGTTTTTGTGGAATGTCCTTCAGAGCTGTCATAGTACTCTTGATGTCATCACTGTCATCAAAATGCCTTCCTTTCAATATTTCCTTCATCTTCGGGAACAGAAAGAAGTCACTGGGGGCTAGATCTGGTGAAAAGGGAGGGTGTTCCAGCACAGTTATTTGTTTACTAGCAAATAACTCCCTCACAGACAGGATCCTAATTCAAGCTCCGACATTCTCACGACAGCACATTGAAACCCACTCAAGCAATAATAGACACTACTCAGGAAGAGACTGCCATAGATCAACAACACAGCTCTGAAATGCTGATATGCCAATGTCATCAAACCATACTGAGGTTTCTGTCCCCTGCTGCCACAGCAAGCACGTGGTGGCAAGTTCGTATACTTTGTCAGACCTTTTATGGGGAAGAATCATGAAAAGCCTTTAGCTAGCTAATGACCTGGCAGAGATTCTGCATGAATACATCTTGAATACAATACACTTTTATTACCACTGAGATAAACCTGCTTAATCTTTATTCTTTGACCTGTGGATATTTGTAATATAGTACAGAATTGTCTTACTTTGCATATTACTGGATAGGCCCTTTTTACCTTAACCTTTTCATTGCCACAATCCAGATAAAGTTACTGATTTTTTTACATGAAGAGGATAATATGTTTTTGAGAAGTACAAATTTCTGGGTTGTTACACTTCGTAAATTGGAGAGAGCCTGATGTCTTGGAGGAATGTATTGGCTTCTTCAAGGTTGAAGAGTAAGTGGATGATAGGAACACACACACACACACACACATACCCAGCAGACCCAACAGCATAACGCACGCAGTCGCGAGAACAAGACGCAACAGAAACACAATATACACGATAGGGAAGAAGAGCTCCAACAGAGTAGGATGAACAGGACTGGCGTAATAAGATACGACGTAGCGATCGGGAACCCTGAACAGTTTTAATATTTTTACGATTGACATTTGTCAATATATATGATGGACATATATTTTAGTTATTTTAAAGTGAAGACAAGGCATACAATGTACTAGTTTGACGTGAATTGAGTAGCACCTGAAGATGGCATT